TGATATTAACTTTACATGATCTATCATAAACAAATGTATGTGTACTACATTTTTCCAGGAACAGATCGAATGGGCTGTAGCAGGCGGAGCGGATTATATTGTCGCGGAAACGTTCAACGACGTTGGAGAAGCTTTGTTAGCGCTCGAATGTATCAAAGAATATGGAAAAGGTACATAAACTCTGCATGGAGGTTTCAAAATCAACATTTCAATTTATAAATATTTTGTATTCAAAATTTGATTTTCTAGAGGTTTTATTTTACACCCCATGGTTCTGGTGAACTCGTTGTATCTTGAATATATTTTGTCAGGGTTATAATTGATATTTGCTTTAAAGTAGGAGGCATGGTAGTCAAGTGGTAGGACGCCGGGCTCGTGACCGAAGGGTTGCGTGTTCGAGTCACGGCACGGCACTGTGTTGTATATTTGAGCAAGATACTTTACTTCGCTTGTTCCAGTCTACTCAGCTGTAGTTAAGTACGTGGTTGGGCAGTGCTAGAATTGTTGAATGCTAGCTGTCAGCGCCGAAATGAAAGTTCCGGTTGTATGCTCCCCAGGGAGTTGAGAAAGGTATTGGCTGGTTGTAAATGCCCTATAACCATGGATAATAATATGTGAACCGCTTTGAGACGACCTACGAACTAGGTTGTGATAAAGCTGTATACAAGAACCTCGAATTATTATTACTAAACTAGCTGCTGTAGCGAAAAATATCTTTGGTAATTTGTATTCGTAAGTATTGATACTGCATTATGAACACAATCGTTATTTGAACTGAAAAAAATAGATAAAGCTAGGAAAAGTACGAAAGAGGAAGAAGTACAATGGGCCATTTAAAAAGTCTCGAGATAATATTGACAAGGTGTTATGTAAGTGTTACCATATTTTGCTTCGCCGAAACCGCCACTTTAATCCAAGTAAATATGTGTAACGTCATGCCCTTGTAGTTGGAACCGATGAGGTGATCACGAAATAACAAGCTCGTGAGTTTCGAATTAATTGCGACAGCTAAACCCTAGTTTGGGGATGTTATTATCAAGAAAAGGATAGGAAAGTCGAAACGTGTCACGTGTATCATACAGCTTAGTAGTTAACCTTCCTTGTTACTCATGTTTAAAGTTCTAATTTAATATGACCTGATATCCAAAGAGAATTCAAATTTTCCTAAAAATATTTCTCAATGAGGTCCGTGAGTTCGATATAAATTAAGAAATATGAGAAAAAAATCAAACAAAATATGAAATTATTTATTATCAGTACCAGCCGTCATCACCATGGGTAGCTTAGTAACTGGTTTGACGGCTGATGGCTTTACCCACGTGGAGGCGAGTCTTCGGCTGGAGGAAGCAGGGGCGGACGTAGTGGGGCTCAACTGTTCACGGGGCCCGACTACCATGATGCCATTCATGAAGGAGATACGACAACAGTGTAAAGTATGTGTCATGTAATTACATCGTGATTATTTTCACTCAATAAATGACCATTAAACCCAGAAACATTCAGGTTAATTATAACCGCAGCTGGTAGTAAAACTAAATTCAAACCTGTATTCTTTTGCAAGAAAATACTTTCAGTCCAGATGTAATAATATTTCCTGTGGCGATGGTATAATTTACATGACCAATAAAGGGAATATTTTGTTTGAAGGGACCGATAGCCGCGTTGCCTGTGCCTTACAGAACAACTCCCACCCAACCAACCATGCAGTCTCTCATTGTCCCGGAGACAGGTAAATTAAATACGCCTTAGCCACATTCTGGCATTATCACTGATATTTTTTGTTTTACTTTTAAATTTAGATGAAATATCTTACGTACAACAGCTGGAATCCCATATATGGGTTGGAATAATTTTTCTACATTTCATTTTTGTATCGAACATTCATATATTCCTGCATTTTTTTAAATTTGAAATTGGGAGTAATAATTTAAAGATGTGATAGTAATGTGTAAGAATGTCCAGTACAAAGTTTGCCGGAACAATTGCCTTTACCCCAGACATATGTTTAGCAAAGGATAAAACCAGGTCTTTACTCATAGACAGTAGTTTTCACTTTCCTATGTCATACAGAAGTTCCATATATCATTCAGAAATATTTGTATTATATGTTTTACAGATAAATATGCCTTCCCGGTTGACCTTCCAGCGTTTACCTGCTCAAGAACGACTGTTCGTGACTTTGCACGGGAATGTCTGAAGATAGGCGTGCAGTACATTGGATTATGTTGCGGAAACAGTCCGCATTACATCCGGGAGTTGGCGGAAGAATGTGGAAGAAGTCCTCCGGCCAGCAGATATTCCCCAAATATGTCTGAACACTACATATTCGATGGTAACGTCAAAGAATATCATGCCAAAACGTTACTCAACGAAATAAGGACCTGAACTGTGCGAAAAATTTAAAAAAAATAAATAATGTAGAGCAGTTGCCGTTAAAGGAAAGTGGAAGAAGATCTCCGGGCAGCAAATATTCCCCAAATATGTCTGGACATTGTACATTTGGTTGTAACGTCAAGGAATATCATGCCAGAATGTTACGCCTCGAGATTAGAAACTGAATTAAGTACATATATGATTTAAAATATTTAATAATGTGATATGATTAAGTTATTGAGAAATGTCTCTTACATGCATTACATATTCATTTACTAATTACTCAATTCTTTTATTTTTTTTACACTGCACTTCCCCAACTCTCTTCTAACTTCCCCTGTAATTTATTCACGTCACTATCCCTACGCTATAGTTGATAATGTTGGTTACGATGAAAGGTAACAGATAATAATAAGTCTATCAACACTTGTTTCTGTTTCCAATTCATTTATGTATAATCATATTTGTATTATGTATTACATATGTTATGTGAATAAAACAAAGTTTAAACCAATCGTCAATCAAGATATTTTTCTTTTTTCTTTTCCCTTTTTTTTTTTTTTTGCATCTCTCGTGGAGGAAATTGAAAACAAACATGCGCTTTTAAACAAATTTATTGACAATTGTTAAAATAGAACTCGAATGTTAAATAATTTGCTATGATGATCTATTTTAAACAAAGTTTACTGTAACCCTATATCCCCTTTCAAAAATCTATGACAAAGAAGTTTTAAGTGCCCCGAACAAAACAAAGCAAATGCTGAATTTAAATAACCGCAATACAAGGAATACGTGTCCAAAATCATATTATTCTTCAGAAACTTAGTCAAATTAAAGTTATTTCATCCGGGAATTTGTCAGAATACATGATTTTTAATGAATTCTAGAAAAAAGTTATAGTTCTGTAAAATATAAAAAAAAAAAGAAAAAAAGCAAGCAATAAAAACGAAAAAGTATGCAACTTCTATTTGCCTTTCACAAACGGTATCAAGCCCAATAAGATGGGCATGTGAGGGGAGGAGCAGGGGCATGGGGATATGCCACTTTTATTAGTGTATAAGGTATGGGAATCAATCTTTAATTTAGACATAATTTATTAGATAGTAATTCATTTAATAATAATGTAGGTATATTACCTATGGGGAAATATCTCATCAAGGCAGTAGGTGCCTTTGCAATCATTCGGCAATTCTGATTTAAATACTCTAAATGGTAACATCGTGTTAACAGGAATACACGATGATGAAAGATCAGTATCATTTCTTGTGTATGTTGACCTATTTTATAAAAGAAATGTTTCCCATTATGACCCCTTTGTGGGTCAGACTTGAAAAAAGTTAATTGCACGATTGTTTTACAGGTATGAATATACTTCAAGAGTGAAACAAATCGGTGATGTCAGATTGACTATTTTGTGTAGTGTTGTTTCTATTAAATAAATTCAATTGTCTTCATATGCATATTTTTCTTCTATTCCTGCGAATTACTACTAATCATTCCCTGAATTAACATTCAATCATTTTTCATCCCAAAAACTCAAATCGAGCAACAATGACGGACGGACGGAACAACTCCGAGGACAGAATAGTGACGTTGTTTTACTATGGCGTAAAATGAAGCTAAATTGTTCGGAAGGTTTTCAATAATCGCTCAGGTTTATTTACACCATGAAGCAAGTCCTAGTCGTAACTAAGGTGGCAAATACGAAAATACAATAGTATTTTTTTTTATTTAAATCATACATTTACATGTCTCCCTTCTTCAGCTTAGTAACCTCTGATTGTGTATATTTAGCGTATACGCATGCAGTGAAAAAAAGGCTCGGCGGTTTGATACTTGTTTCAAATATGGCGCCGTTCACGCTTCATCAAGACAACAGTCCAATGACAACCAATGCTTGGTTTATTCACCATCTACATACAAAGAACATATTCGGGATTCATTATGTCTAATTATGCAACAAAAGAATGCTGAAAAACTTCTTATTCCATGGATGCATATTCAAATTTCTTTGGTGGTAGCGTCAACAATGGCGGCTTCGTTCTGAAACATTCGACCGCGTCACTCCATGAGCATTGTGTCAATGCGCGTACATGACGACCGTTGTAAATGAATAGAAAATTTCGAAAGGTTTCTCACATTGCTTAATTTAAAATTTAATTTGTTGCCAACTGCGTTCATACTACCGTATACGCCGTCAAAATGAAGGTCAGTCCTTAAATAAACATTCCTGTGTAACATTTCATTATTTCACAATCCACTCGTGTTTAAGGTCATTACTGTAATGATCAATAAAATCTGTAATATCAATATGTTCTTATTTTCAAAAACAAATTACTGAATTATAAGAAAAAATCAGCAACTTTAAACTATTACATTTATATTTCACAAGTGAATTAAATCTTCAGATCTGAAGTTATGTTTATGCAGCACAGTGACAACGATGTACAGATAAGGTGACGGTACTAAGATCCGACATTGTCTTTATCTTGACGTGGGGACATGTCCTCAATAGATATAACGTAACTGTATATTTAATCAGAACATGGCAGCAAAAGGTATGTGTATATTGTTAGCGTTCAAATACATATTGATGCAAGATAGGATCGTATCTATTATAATGTATTGGTGGCAGGTACAACAAAGACATTTCGAATATATACTAAATATATACTGAATATATACTGAAGCAATCAGAGCAAATACCTCACAATGTTAAACATATGACATGCATATCATCAAGGCCTCGCATAGTAGAAACGCCAAATGACACGGTGGCTTTGTTCGCCATAACCTGGTTACGGAAGCACGTTAGTCTTGTGGTAGAGCGCCGGGCTCTTGACCGAAGGGTTCCGGGTTCGAGTCACGGCAATGTGCTGTATCTTTGAGGAAGATGCTTCACTCAGCTGTAAATGAGTACGTGGTTAGGCAGTGCTAGAATTGTTGAATGCTAGCTATGAGCACCGAAATCGCAGAACCGGCTGTATGCTCTCCAGGGAGTTGAGAAAGATATAAATTTACATCATCATCATCATCCTCACAATCATCATCATCATCCTGATTGTCGTTGTCATCATCATCTCCATTATCATCAGCAGCAGCAGCAGCAGCATCACTATATCATCAGCATCCTGATCACTAACATTCAAACTATCCGTTCATCATCATCATCATCATCATCATCATCATCATCATCATCCTCCTCACAATCATCATCATCATCAACATCATCCTGATTGTCGTTGTCATCATCATCATTGTCACCATCCATACAATGCGTGTTGTGTTAGCAACACACCTCACCAGACAGCCACTGAACCACACCGCAACATCATTTTTTTAACAAGGTACACTCAATATTTGACATCAACACACACAACAAACATGATTAACTCATTCATATTGAGGAAGATCAGCTTTTTCTTTTTAATATATTGTTACATGTATACACATTTTATGACGGACAATATAATCCACATCATGTTATATTTTATTTCAGAACCAAATCATGTAATGCACTTCATTAAAAAGCACTAACAGATATACCCACTCCTATACACTTTCACTTACACACACTCACATACACTTTATCTACAAAAAGGATAAAACTCCTGTTATTGCTATATCTGATATGTGTATAATATTGTCGAAAATGAAGGAGAAACAAGAGAGAAGAAAAGAATAAGAAAAGGAATGAATAGGCATAGATATTCCGTTGCAATGCTAGTTATTAACATTTATGATGATATGCAACAACGATCCCTTACAATAACCTCCAATATGCGTCACCGCGCATCATGGAGTATTTTGTATTGGAAATGTGTAGAACAATATTATAAATGTAACAAAGATGCAGGATGAGACAATAAGGTTTGCATGTGTTTTAATGTACAGTGATATAAGAAAGAAGAAGAAAATTCAGATAGTTCGACTACCACAACATCAGACATTTAATAGAACCAAGTTAATATTGCTTTTTATTTTTATAAAATTACAAAATTACGTCACACTTCTATAATTTGTAATACGAGTACAAATGCCTTATGATATATTAGCCGTGAATACTATAGTTTTTTCGGTGATTTCTTTTCCATTCTTAGAAAACCCTGTGTTTATTTGATATCAAACACAAATAATCTATTCACTCACGTGAAATTATATATATATATATATATATAGCAGATAATAAATAAATAAGTCCTTGCGAAGGAAAATATAGAATAAAAACATAATTTTTTCAGATCGTCCGCTAGGCCTTTCTGCCTTCTAGGGCTTCTTAGTATATATATATATATATACATATATATTGAACGATATCACTTGTCACGTGACAAAACTCCTTACTCTGCCTCGTCTTCTGCTCATTAAAAGTATATGCATAAAAAGTGACCTGGTTAACCGACAGACCGGAAAATGGCAGCGAAAGGTAAGGTGCTTGTTGTGTCCTAGTTGTCAACCGTACACATCACCATTTGTTTCCAAACTTAATTCTCTCAAATTTTGAAATGTCAATCGACACACTTAAGCATACTCCAAATATGTTATGATAATTACAATCAGATACGTACTACATACACATGCAACCATGTAACGAAACTACATCAGTGTCTTAGTTGATCAAGGCAATTCATTATCTAACCATTTCAGCTGAACGAGCTAAAAGCTAGGAGCATACCTTGGTATGATATTTACTTCATTGTGTCTTAGTCTTAAAGACAAGGAGGGTGTAACGGGTAACGACAGGATTTGCTTGTAGCGTAGATATTTTTAGACCGAAGACAACCTACAACATGTAGAACTATTCGTATTATTTACTGAACTCAATATAACACTCTCCTTCAATCTACTCTCCACCAGATGAGTATTGGTAGAAGTCGTATCTACAGTGAACCTATTTCTGACGGTGCAGGATATGGACACAACAACAACCGTCTTACCAAACAGTTTCACAGTTGTTCGCACACAAATATAATTATATGTACGTAATTAATATTGAATAAAAACTGTTTAAACTAAATGTAAGTCACACGGACATTTGACACGATTTGCTACACAAATCACATTATGATACAAGTCATATGGAATTCCTACATAATTTGTCACAGAAATGTAGGTCGTGTTGACCTCGCAGTATTAAATGAAGCTGAAGTTACACCTCTTCACAGATTCAATGTATATACAAATGTAAGTTCTCTTACAGTATCAAGGGTACGTAACACTTTACCATACAGGAAAGTATGTGAAGAAAACAACCACACACATACACATTGCCACACAGGTGAGTATTGTCAGTAAACCCAAAAACGGGACATTTTTCAGCTAAATATTGAGGTGAAATATTCTAGGGGGGGTGGGGGGCATAATTAATTTTCTTCTCCAAATTAGCATCAGTTTTGAAGAAGAAATTGTCTCTGAAAGACTGAAAATTGTATCCGTATAGAGAGCGACGGCACGTACATTTACACATCTATGTTTTCGACATTGTTATACTGTCCGTGTAACAATAATCAACAGCCAACAAAGCCGACACATACAGTTGAATTGATATAAACATATCACGTAGTAAAAATTGCATACATAAAATACTTCTTTGACTTGCGTGCCAATTTCTTTCCCACAAGCGTCCCGTTTTGAGTACACTGATGTCATGTGAACTGTTACACGCTACCACAAATGATAAGTGTTTGGCAATGCAGATTATTTTAGACGTATGTGCATGTATTATGAACAGATGTGACCGCTGTACGTTGTCTTCATACCAAATCTATACCACCGGCATTTGATATTGCATTAGGCTGTAATGTTTCAGCTTTGGTAGCAACCTTCACAACAACATTTGACAGAATCTTTTTTCTTTTTAGGTTTGTTGGAGAGACTGAAGTCAGGGGAAAATGTTGTCGTTGCGGAGGGATATCTTTTTGAGTTTGAGAGAAGAGGTTACCTTAAAGCCGGAAGTTTTATACCAGAAGTTGTCCTCGAACACCCTGAAAAGGTCAAAGGGTTGCACGAAGAGTTTGTCCATGCCGGAAGTGACGTCGTGTTAGCTTTTACGGTAATAGATGTTTATCAAGTGAAAATTAAACTTTCCGTTAGGAGTTTACACTTGAAGGCTTTCCTGACAGAGTTGTTTATTTTTCCGCACAACCTTCAGTATATATGCCTATCACATATCTTGTCTAGACGAATAAGTTTGTAAATCGTAAAACAAATGCAATACATTGTAATGTTTATGTCAGCTCTTTACATTGCACGGTTTCTCGTCAATTAATCAATCGCATGTAAATACAAAATACTACGTAGGAAAATGTACATGAATAGTAATGATTTCATCACTGCAGTTTTTTTGGGGTTTTTTTTTTTTTGCTTTTATTTTCTGATCAATCACTATTTTATTTTATTCCAATTTAGTACTATGGACATCGTGAAAAGCTAAGACAGTGCGGACGTGAAAGAGACCTGGAAAAGTTAAATGTTACCGCCTTGAAAATCGCTCGCCAAGTAGCAGACGACACAGGAACACTCATGGCGGGAAACATCTGTAATTCGTGTGTATACGAGGTCGGCAACCCAGCATCAATAGAAACGACACGAAACATGTTTAAGGTTTACATTTTATTTTTTATTTTTACATTTATCTAATATTGCAAATATTTAATGCTTTGTGAGATACACGGTGTTGTGTGTATTCTCGAGGGCAACTGATTGGAATTTCAAATGTCCCGCGCGAATTTTAAGAAGTGGTGCTTTATTTAATTTTGTGGGCTGAGGAATGAATAACCAAAATGAATCTAATCACTACCGAGCTAAAGGACTCATCATGTTCTGATAAGCGGTTGTTATATAAGTGTACAGTGGCGGAACTATGTTTTCCAGGAACAGATCGAATGGGCTGTAGCAGGCGGAGCGGATTACATTGTCGCAGAAACGTTCCACAATGTGGGAGAAGCATTATTAGCGCTCGAATGTATAAAAGAATACGGAAAGGGTACATTAAATCTACTTTTTAAATATGAACAGTAATGAACTGTTTTATATCCTGAACTTTGCAAAAAGTATATTTCTCTCATAAGACATCACATAGTTTTAAACACATTTTATAAATAAATGGTAATATTTTCAAAAAAATATAAATGATTAAAACTGTTTCTGTATCGTTTAGATATGCAGATGTAAAAGGTAAAATGCCTAGATAACGTACTAAACTGTACACAAACAACGTTCTGTCAACCCTCGTCATCCTCGATACCCAAGGGCTACGCTCACTTTCGCTCTCTGCACCCCTGGAATATGTCAAATCAAACCTGAAGGCTCAGTGTGCGCCAAGTTGTGGATGAGACAAGAAGACTAGTTTGATCCTTTGATGTACATCAGAAGAATATTGAGGTCACGTAAGGGTAAAACTTCCTGGCTTTGAAGTAGAGCGTCGTTCCTTTGTAATCCTCAAAGGACAGGTATCGGCCTATTGATTGGTCAGGTGTTTTTTTTACATGAGACCAATCGAATAGCTAGACACATGTCTTTAATCTTGCTATGTCATATTCCAGGGGCGCAGAGAGCGAAAGTGAACATACCCCATGGATAACGAGGATGACCCGTCGTAAGAAACTAATAAACATATTAAAAAACTATCAATGTTTCAAATGATATATTTATAAGTTCCTTATATGTATTAGTACCTGCTGTCATCACCATGGGAAGTTCGGCGAATGGTTTGTCCTCTGATGGTTTTACACACGTGGAGGCGAGCCGTCGACTGGAGGAAGCAGGAGCGGACGTAGTGGGACTCAACTGTACACGGGGACCAGCCACCATGATGCCATTCCTTGGGGAGATTCGGCAACAGTGTAAAGTACGTCCTTTGTAAACAAGTTATCATTTTTATCAAAATTCAATCAATCACTATTTTATTCAGAAACATTCAGGGCTATGATAACTTTAAAAGTCATGTCGAAACATGTGCAGATGACTAGTACGATATGTACACTGTCACCTTCATCAGACAAATGACAAGTGAAGCGTATGCACACAAAGGTGTAAAATGTGTACGAGTTGTCCACAAAATCGATGTCGATTTCGGCTAAGCTGTAAGCGTATGTACAATAGTTGTTACATATGTACCGAAATGACTCGATTCAGCTACGCTTTGTTTATGTGCGAGAGTCTTTAAGCCCCCTCGTCTCGATTTAGAACTGACTCACTGCGGCGTATCCAGATGGTTTCCTTTATCTGCCGCTTGCACAGATTACTCTCTCTGTTCAAAACTTTTACAACCCAATCAATCACATAATTTTCACTGAATACATTTCTTTGAATTTCCTGACAACTATAAAATGCAACGAGGAAATTATTTGCATGATGTCTTAATTTATTTTATCAATTTAAATACGTTTTATATATTTTCAATCGTGACCAATAAACTTGGATAATCATTTAATTAATGAAGCGGACATTTTGTTTTAAGGGACCAATAGCCGCGTTGCCTGTGTTGTACAGAACCACGCCCGCCCAACCAACCATGCAGTCTCTCATTAATCCTGAAACTGGTAAAGTTACTACACCTTTATATGTGTTTAATAAATACCAAATTGAGTTTTTTAATGGCAAATTAGCAGAACAACAGTGATATGTGACCCCTCAAATGTCTTCACTGTCTGAAACCTGACATAGCGAGAGGCGTTTGAGACTTTGAAGCTTTTGAGTTGATATCAAAAACTTATAACCTCGGACGCATTTAGCCTTTATCCTTTATTATCATGGTCTTTTCTTTCTATGCAAACATCTTTAAGAAACTAGATATGATTAGGCAGTTTTTACCTCACAGGTCTCAGTCCTATACAAATATTGGGATGCCCTTGATATTTGTGTACGGTATATCAGCTAGATGTATATTTATCATTTATGTATTTTTGGATGTAAATATGCGATTATATAAACTTGAGAAAGCGATATTAACCGAGACGAATATCACCTCCTCGGGTCTATATAACCGCATATTCACCTCAGTAAAAGTATTTAGTTATTACATCAAATGCTAAATAATGTTTTAAGCATTTCAAAAGGGTTGAAGTTATACCGAAGAAAGTACTGCATTTGGCAGAAAATATCGTCACGTCACAATTGAAGAGACGTCATAAAATGAATAGTGACCTGCAGTTTCTGAAAAAAGTGCAACCGAATAAATATCACAAATCATCGACTTCCACGTGATTATGATCCAACCAATGGTGAAGTATGTATACATGTATATATATGTATATAAATACTTCAATATGTTTATGTACTTCATTGTCAGCTTACTGAGGTACCTGACCTTGTACACCTGCTGTCTTTAACACATATTGTTATAAGATATGCAAATTTTTTTTTTTTTTTCATTTTGATCAATATTCATGTATTGATCGATATTGATGATCGATTTGACCTATGACCTTGGGTAACCAACATATTTACCTTTACATTATTATGAGATATGGAAAAAAGGTGTGTCTTACTGATCGACATTGGTTTGGTTGTCCTCTAACCTGGAAAAAATAACGTTTACCCTGGGAATATTTGTTGTTAATGAAATGGATCAAGGACTAAATGTAACAATTGAAACATGTAACAAGTTTTCAATACAAGAAGAGTAGCTATGTGTAGCATTAACAAAATATGAAACTGTAGGTTTTCAAGAAATGTCAGTCATGTTTTGTAAGGAACGATGTTGTTTTGTATATTCTACAGGTAAATATGCCTTTCCGAGTGATCTTCCTGCGATGGCCTGCTCAAGAACGGCTGTTCGCGAATTCGCACGGGAATGTCTGAAGATAGGAGTGCAGTACATTGGATTATGTTGCGGAAACAGTCCGCATTACATCCGGGAGGTGGCGGAAGAATGTGGAAGAAGTCCTCCGGCCAGCAGATATTCCCCAAATATGTCTGAACACTACATATTCGGTGGTAACGTCAAAGAATATCATGCCAAAACGTTACTCAACGAAATAAGGACCTGAACTGTGCGAAGAATTTGAAAAATAAAATTATGTAGAGCAGTTGCCCTTTAAGGAAACCAATGTACGCGGAATCATAGATAAACAATTAAAATGTTAATGGAATATCATATACTTAATTGTAAGTAAAGATAAATGTAATCAGGAAGTGTTGTTTGCGTTTTGTGCTGCTTTTTTTTGCTGATTGGGTTCAATAAAAACAAACACGCTGTTGTCCGAGGAAGAATCATGTTTCTGTTAGTTTAGTGACAATTATGAGCTTGTTCAGGAAGAGGGAAGGGGGCCTCAAGACAGGTTTTGAGGCAGGATAGATATAAGATTGTCCATTACCACTTCCGGTTATCAGGGGCACTCCTAAGAGGAGAAAAGATTGATCGTCTTCGGAAGTGAGAAGTCTAACAACAGAAGAGCAGAATCCTTCGCTCCTGAAGCGGACAGAAGAATGAAGTCAACTGACATAGGAACGTCCCGTAGTACCTTCTCCATTTTGAATCAGGCACAGACGTGGGAGGGTTAGAAACTCGATTGAATTTCTTTGAAACCCTCACGGGAAGTATTCGCAGATGCTCATCAGTGCAGATTACTATAACAAAATATAAAAGGTATCAGGCTAGGTATACGGTGATAGCTTTAAAACAACAGTACATTTGTTTTATGTATATGTAATATTGGAAAGCATTTAGAAAAATCGTTACGAGACAAAAAAAACAAGGGTTTGTATTTATGGCAATAAAGATATTGATTCATCAATGTGTGACTCAAGAATTATGTACTATAAAACCGTTCTTTACATTCTTCCTTTTTCATGATACTATATTTCTAGATTTCTGATAATTTTCCAATCTGTAAGATTACCAGTATTGACAGCCTTCTTTCTAAGTCTTTCACGGATCTGACAATGTTTGCGTAAAACTGAGTCAAACCAGAGTTTGTAAGACGGACGGATAGCTACGTCACGTTAGGAATACATATACGAACTAAATTAATTCTAAAACAATACTAGTAAGGTTGTCAGTAGCGGAGTCAATGGACGGAGCAGCTGTAATGACTGCTTGCCAATTATCACCATAAAGCAAATTATTAAGATTTTCAAAATCTGCTCTTCTGTAATTCCAAACTTGTAAGCACACTTGCAACTACACGAAATTTAAGTCATAGACAGATAAGTTACTTTGTGGTTGCTAATCGCGTCATCCAACCCAAACACACCACTATTGGGACATTTTAATGTTGTAACAGCTATATTTGGACCTAAACCAATTAAGGTGTTCATAGTAGCTTCACACATTTCTTAGGTTTAGGTCAAATTTCGGTAAAAATGCCAACTCCAATGATGATCATTACCCGAGGTTGGAAATTAAGATGCGGAATTTGTGCATGTGTCCTACATTTCATGCACAAGTAATGGAGATCGAGTATATCAAGCTATTTTTTGAAAATTACTTTAAAGGGCAACAAATATTCATTAAACGTCATCTTGCTGAAAAGATGAGTCCATAACTTTGTTGCCGGAAATTTAAAGCAAATGCAGTTTCAAAATGAACGGAAGTTCCGTAAAAATAATAATGTGACTATATCATTTCCCGTCGTTGATTCAACCACAGGGCCACGTTACAATCACAAATATGCTATACTGATATGGGTCACAACACACATAAACATACACTGTGTGTTGTGACCCATATCAGTATAGCATTTGTGTGATTGTAACGTGGCACTGTGATTCAACTAACTATGAGGATTTTCATAAACCCATTGTGTTTAAAAAGAAATATAGTTTTGAGAAAGAAAAAAACCCGAATAAGATCTCCCTATTTCTACCTTGTGTCAAACTCTTGAACGGAGTATAGATCTAGATGCTCTATGTGCTGAGAGAGTGTGTTTTTTTTTTTTTTTTTTACTAATTTTAGTACCAAGTCCCTCTTATTGATTTAGCTACATCATGATATATAATACTTATTTTTGTCCAACTTATTTGCGCAATATACTTTAAATTCAAATGATTGGCTATGTAGTTAAACGCTCGTGCTATTTTTATAGTTAAATGTGTGCACTTAATAAATAATAAACTCTAAAGATGTGTCAAATATAAATGCGTTTAATTCAATGTGTCTTGCATTGTCAGCCATCCATTTTCATTTTCCTTATGACTAATATGTGATACGATATTGTTTATTGTTTTATCATTATCTGTTATAAGACAGTCGGTTGTAAAGGCCATATAAGGTTTGTGTTCAAAACGTTGTTCAGTTTGTACTGATTAAAAATCACGGACTTAGATAGCTAATATAATTCCAGTGACGGATCCAGAGGGTTTTTTTGGGCTTCAGGGAACCCCCCCCNCAGATAGGTCTCTGGATCCGCCACTGAATTCCGTGTTAAAAATAATATTACTTCACTTGATAGATTGGTGCAGGCCAGCTGTTTGTAGTTAAAGGGAGACAATCGTTATTTATCATTATTCGCTCTCCTATTTTGAAGGTACTTATTCTATGTGTTTATAAAAATCGTGAGGACGAAGTCCAGAAGTCCCTTCCCTGGAAACTTCGTCGAGATGGCTGAACGGCTGAAGACCATCCGCAACCACCTGTGTCAGAGCAGAGTTGCTCTGCCGACGGTCAGTATTATTGATATGTAACAGAGTAACTCTCATCAGACAGAGACTATTTGTTTACATCGAGGCCCAATGCAAGTCATCTGACCTGTCAAACTCTTGTCAACAAGTTCATGAAATTATGCCCAGTTGATTAAAGAATTAAATATGTTCTTGCTATCACTCAGACTGTACTGTGTCAAACTCTATTGTACTCTAAGCTTTTGCTGAAAGCATGTTTCAGGGACAATCCTCATCGAACGATTTTCTTTCGGATGACCCAATTTTAATTATAAACAGGTAAAGTAATAACCGTTACGTATATATCAGTACGTGTAGTTTTAGCAAATTAAAGGTGTTTGAAATTCTGACTATAAATTGAGATAAAAAAAATATTGAAATAAGGGTATTACCTTCTTTTTTTTATATGATTTTTATCTCAATTTACAGTCAGAATTTCAAACACCTGTGGTAACATGTACATGTACAGCTATGTTTGGACCTAAATTTAACTTATGTGTTTATACTATACGTCCCTGGTTTATAGTAATTTTACTTTTTAAGGGTTTTTAATAGATCAATTTGAAGTAAAAATGCCATCCCCAATGATCATAATATTAACAATAATATTACTAATGCAAGCCCCATAAAAAGATATTATACATAGCTAGGTCAGAGTGACCCAAAATTCCAACCCCCTATTAGGTCTTATTCAAAGACACCGCTTCATTATCAGATTTCATATATGTAATTTGATTATACTGAACTTGTATCTTAGCTATTAAAATGGTACATAGTGACGTTAGCGTAGTCATCATGAAGTATATAAGGCTGTGTGGGCTTCTTAAATATAGCTACAGAACTAAGAGTCACCGCAAAATAGTCATGCAGAGCTTCAATTCTCATAAACACATCCTGGGGCTGGATGCATGTCCGTTAGTCCTTGTTCTGGGAACTGCAAACATATTGTAATCCAGGTATTAGTTCATACCTATATGGGACCTAACAAAGGCCATAATTATGGTTGTTGTTATTGTCAAAGGGTGACTTCGGCATAGTAATTGAGATTGATAGCACTCCATAGCATCAGATCACAGGGGCATGCAACTACTACTTATATTGATCTTGTTAGACTTTGTATTGCAAGGGATACAACATACCCAGCGACTGAAAGTCTAACAATTCACAAGATCAACCCAATACACCGTTCCTTACATATCTGACCTTACATATTTAACTTGGATAGTAGCATATACATGTACATTGTATGTCAAAATTTGTTCAGACCGTATTGAGCTGACAGCAGAGGATTTGTTTTAAGTCCTACAGTCAGAATACAATCTGTGTATTTGTGTATTTACATATACATATCTACATCTATGTTCTACTTTGGACCCTTGACATTATGTAAGAACGTGCACAACGATGTGTATTCATCATATCAATTAATGTTTTTATCAGCTTGCCATGATTACATGGATACACTGACTATATATTGTGGTAGAGTTAAATACACATCAGTTACACAAGTGATCAGACTTTGAATGCATATATATTTATTGTGAAATCGTTACGTTCACTTTAGATAAAACAGTGCAGTGTATATATATGCGTGTACACTTTATCTGTATCAAAATTATTAACTGGCGCTTCACTTGCGTAATTATCTTTATGGATGCAGTTTAATATGTCCCCAATTTACTGAGACATCAAATTCACCACACAAAGGAAAATCATCAAAACAATTTCATGAATGTTAATTGTAACATTTCAACTACCAGGTACATAATTAATTAATTTGGTGAATGTGAATCAGTCCACCTTGACATTTTTTCCAAAACAAAATCTCAATAAAAAAAGTACCTGTGCACTAACTATCTATAGTGTGCACAATTCACAAATATTTATGGTAAATGGAGGTTTGGGCTTTTATTTCTAAAACAAAGAATTCCATTATTTAATAAACAGAACTTTGCATGTATGTAAAACATATTTTCAGTTTAAATACTACAAAATAATACTTAACATATAAAATAGTATGTACACATTACCACATGCAATACAGTTACAAATTATGAGAAGCCAAGCTCAGATTCATAAAGATTTAGAAAGAGTGATTAGAAGAGAGAGATTTTTATAGATGTTTAGCGATATAATGCTTTGGAAAATGAATAAAACTTCTTTTTATATTAAATGGCAAAAACATTTCAGCACATTGGATATAAATCAAGTATCACATTTTGTACCAGATTCAGTGGTGTTGTTGCTCATCATTTCTATTTTCATTATTATATTCATTGTATGTTTATACTGGTTAAGTGACATATGTTATAATGAGTAAATAAACTGACCATCCTGCTATTTATCCACAGACACACGAGACAACAGCCCAGCTGTCGATGCCCAGTGATCAGTTTGAGTACACATTACAGTCACCGTTACTTAGCAATGAACAACGGGCAGCTTACGAGAAAGATGGATTCCTGGTCATCAAAGGACTAGTTCCTAAAGAGGACCTAGAGAGATATAGGTACAAATGTACTTAGAACTGACATCAGTCCTTTATAGACATACTCTTATAATGTCTATCCTTATTCTTTATCCAGTCATATATATTGGTATATTCTTGAACGAGCAGGTCAAGCTTAGAAAATGTGTAGACTGTTTCCAATATTTTGGTAGGCATTCTTTGGTGATTCTATTGGATTCTATAAAACCATCATACAATCAGGAATACATTTAATTTTTGGGATGTATGCAGAATTTCTATTAATTTGAAAATAATTTTTCACTTCTTCAGAACTGTATTGAATTAGAACCGTTACAAGTTTTTGACTTTTGAAGTGACTTGTCCCAAATTCAAACACAAGAGTATATATCCATAAAAAAAATCTACTCATTTGAACTCGACCAGTGCAATTATCATGAGTGTGACATTATTATATAGATAACAGATATCTAGTGATATCGTTGACAACAATGATATCGTATGATAACAGCATATATATAATGGCCTACAATGAAGATACTGTACAACAGACATAGTCTGTAATGTGGGCCACATCCTATACACATGAATAATATGCTTATATTCATATCCGTATATTAATATTACCACCTGATGTAATATTATCTGTGTCGGAAGAACACATTTGTAGCTACAGGCTTGCCTTAAATTAAGTCACCGGTTAAATACGATGATGTATATGATTACACTGTATAATGTAGTTTGTTGTTGGCTCTGATTACATAATGTAACTGTACAGAAATATAAATTAAGTAGGCTTTAATATATGAAGTAATGTAGTGAAATTTATGTAAAATAATGACATGTTTCTTCAGCAGACTCTAAACTATAAATAGTGCAATTGCTTAGTCTCCAAACAGATTGCTGATATATTTAAAAGTAGACGGTGGAGTGTTGACAGATTATAGTACCATATACAGTTTATTTTTGATGAAAAAAAAATGCCCGATGCTCATGGAATACAGGCTTTTGTTCACTACTCACTGTATTTAAATAAGAACACTGGTAATGTATAATAAATCCTTAAGTATTATTATTAGTAGTAGTTATGTGATTTAAGTGGACTATAATGTGGAGATAAGGTAGTGTAATATATAACTGACGTTGACTCAGGGCCCAGTTTGAGAAGATCTGTCGTAATGAAGTCAATGTTCCTGGTATCACCATCATGCGTGACATCACCATCGCCAAGACGGAGTATGTCGCTGATCAGAAGGCCATAACAAAAGTTCAGGACTACCAGAACGACGAGGTCCTCTACAGCTACTGCACCAAACCAGAGGTACGATAAATTTACTGTACCATACCTCTATCTATACCAAACCAGAGGTATGATATATTTACTGTACCATACCTCTATCTATACCAAACCAGAGGTACGATATATTTACTGTACCAAACCAGAGGTACGATATATTAACTGTACCAAACTAGAGGTACGATATATTTACTGTACCAAACCAGAGGTACAATATATATACTGTACCAAACCAGAGGTACAATATATTTACTGTACCAAACTAGAGGTACGATATATTTACTGTACCAAACCAGAGGTACGATATATTAACTGTACCAACCTAGAGGTACGATATATTTACTGTACCAAACCAGAGGTACGATATATTAACTGTACCAACCTAGAGGTACGATATATTTACTGTACCAAACCAGAGGTACAATATATATACTGTACCAAACCAGAGGTACAATATATATACTTTACCAAACCAGAGGTACAATATATATACTGTACCAAACCAGAGGTACAATATATATATACTGTACCAAACCAGAGGTACAATATATATACTTTACCAAACCAGAGGTACAATATATATATATACTGTACCAAACCAGAGGTACAAAATACACTTATATACTGTACCAAACCAGAGGTACAATATATATACTGCACCTAACCAGAGGTACAATATATATACTGCACCAAACCAGAGGTACAATATATTTACTGTACCAAACTAGAGGTACAATATATATACTGTACCTCTGGTTTGGTGCAGTATATATATTGTACATCTGGTTTGGTACAGTAAATATATTGTACCTCTGGTTTGGTGCAGTAAATATATTATTCCTCTGGTTTGGTACAGTAATTATATAACCTCTGGTTTGGTGCAGTATATATATTGTATCTCTGGTTAGGTGCAGTATATATATTGTACCTCTGGTTAGGTGCAGTATATATATTGTTCCTCTGGTTTGGTACAGTATATAAGTGTACCAAACCAGAGGTACAATATATATAAATGTACCAATTAAACCAGAGGTACAATTTAAATACTCTACCAAACCAGAGGTACAATATATATACTGCACCAAACCAGAGGTACGATAAATTTACTGTACCAAACCAGAGGGACAATATATTTACTTTACCAAACCAGAGGTACAATATATATAAATGTACCAATTAAACCAGAGATACAATTTAAATACTCTACCAAACCAGAGGTACAATATATATACTGCACTAAACCAGAGGTACAATATATATACTGCACTAAACCAGAGGTATATTATATATACTGTAGTAGAAAACAAGTAAGCACATTTGTTCTGCCCCAATTATGGAAATAAAACAAATGCAGGGTCCTGACCAAGTTATGTACTATATATTGAAGAAGGCCCAGTTTTTAATTTCTATGTTTGTGGTGATGTAATTGACCCTGTACTAAGCTTACATTAACAAGCCCATGCCATGATCATGATTTTAGAAAAAAAATGTTTTTCTGCCTATGCTAATTGGGGTAACATGATTACCCCATTTCCAATGCAAAATGGTCATTTTTATTCCTGAATCAGACTTTTAAATTCCCAACCAGTAAAAGAAAAAAAAAGAAAGAAAAAAAAGTTTATTCCAACCCCAAAATCACTATATATTGAACTAAATTATAACCAAAGCAAACTTATTATGAAAATTCAAACACATGTTCAAAATTCTTCCTTGCCTCTCTCGTTCCCCAGACCAACCCACCCAACCCCCTCTAACAAAAAAGGGGGGTAATTATATATTCCCAAAGATAAAAAAAAAATACTCCCAAAGTCAGACTTATGAGAATTCAAAGAGCTTGCATACCAAATTTAAATAAAAGTAGTTGTACTTTTTTTGTAAATATGATCTTGACCCTAACAGACTACTGGGAATGAAATTGTTTCCTACCTTTGATAATGTATATTTACTCCAGACCTCCATGTATGTGACACATTGATGTTATCCCTTACAGATTGTCGACTATGTGGAAGCCTTCGTCGGTCCCAATGTCAAATCTATGCACACCATGCTCATCAACAAACCACCAGATCCAGGTAATAATATATGTATTCAAGTTTTGTTAAATAAACTGTTCAGGTTGTTTTCAGATTTTTGTGATTTTCACGGTAACAGTTGTGTCTGTTTGGTAAAATAAAACGACATGTAATATTATAAGACTCTTTCATGCTTAGGGGTTCCGGTGTAGGATAGGGAAATTCCACCAGTGGGTTTTTCAAATTTGGTAAAACCCGAGGCTTTAAAGGCACGAAAGAGTATTTTTCTCTCATTCCAACCACTAGAAAAAGCTCAGAAACCATGAAAATGCATTTGGACTGGCCACCATTTTGTAAATATCAATTTTTCTCCTGAGCATTTTAGATGAAAAAACAATTCTGTCAGCCAGATTAAGCATACCCAATATTTGCAAACAGAGTTTGCGCAGAAAAGTTATTCATTTATTTCTAACGTGTACGGTAAATATGTCTTAAAAAGTTTTAATTTCATCATGTCGCCTTTTCCGGATTGCAGCATCAGAGATTTCCAAATTTGTGACGTTACGTCTTTGTTGAGTCATTGTGACATCACGTCATTGTAACGTCACGTCACATGAAATGGGATGCAAGATAGAAATTTCTTACACCCCTTTTTTTACCCTGGACAGCTCTATCTTACACACACGGAAATGAGAGAAATCATGTATAATCAATCAGTTTGATGGGTAGTTACACCTAAGACATAAATTTGCATTTGCCAACAGACAAAATCTTCTAGCCCAGACACATCAGACAACAGTCTTTTCTTATCCTGTATAGGAAGGGGTTTTGTCAAGTTTCACATGTTAATGAACATGATGATTCACCATTGGTTGAAATGATTTATGTATATTATCTCCCGGACAGGCATGAAGTCATCCCGTCACCCCATGCACCAGGATCTGTACTACTTTCCCTTCCGACCGGCCAAACGGGTTGTGTGTTCCTGGACCGCCATGGAGAGAGTGGACAGAAAGAATGGCTGTCTGGTGGTACTGCCTGGTACCCATAAAGGGAAATTACTGAAGCATGATTACCCACAATGGGAGGTAAGATATACTGTGTTTCATACATGCTATGTCCCCATATTTTGAAGTTTGTCTCATATATTTTACCATAAAACGCTGAAACTAAAGAAACTTCTAAAGAATCTGAATCTCCCTACATTTGAATGGGATGTTAGAAATAAATAACTTTTTTTGAAAACATGTCTAATAAACACTATTACGTGAGTTTCTATTTTTTTTTTTTTTTTACATGAAGCCTTGATTGATGAAATATTATTCAATATGAAAGAAAATAGATTATTCTGGAACTTGTAAAAGAATACTTGCAATGAGAATCTCCCTACCAAAGACTACTGAAGTCATCACATGTTTACCAGAATAGGGCTACGACAAGAGCTTGGAAACATCTGATGACATACCACTGATATCAGAATACAATAGCTTTTGTACGGGTTGCCAACCTTTACTGGGGAGTTCATCTTCGCTAGCAAAGTTTTTTGCTTCGTATTCGAAGTGAACCCTTGACTTGCGAAGATGCGGGGAGTTCATTTATTCTAATAACATTGTATTATAAAGATTTTGGTCAGTTACTCTACAGATGTGTCATGTGTCATGCTGAATATGTTATCATGTAGAATTTCATTGTGTTGTGATTAGGGTGGTGTTAACAAATATTACCACGGTGTTCGTGACTACGATCCCAAGGCCCCCAGAGTCCACCTCGTCATGGAACCAGGAGACACTGTCTTTTTCCACCCACTGTTGATCCATGGGTCTGGCATGAACAGGACAGAGGGGTTCAGAAAGGTAAAGTTAAAATATGTATAGCCAATTGCAACATGTTTTGCAAATAAGATAACAAAATAAAAGTTTAAAAGAATTATACACTTCACATCAGTTAGTGTTTAAGATGTAATGGATTCCACCAAAGAGAAAAATTAAAGCTGGTTTGAGGGTAAATTATCCTCTCTTTTATACAGAAGGGAAGTAACTCATACAAGCTTATGAGAATTTTTTTTCTGAAACAACTGTTTCAGTTTTATTTTGCATTTGAAATAATATATATTTCACAAGGAAGGATGCAGCTTTTTAAGAATTATGGGGAGATTTTTGGCGAGAATATCTGTAAAAAATGTGGCACAATTTCTGGTCGTCCTGCTGTTCCGACACAAATATATTGATATTATCTTAAGCATCCTGTTAAATCAAAAGTTCATTGATATTATCTGAAGTATCAGACAAAAAGTACATTGATGTAACAGAATATTGAGTTCCTCCGTTCAATAATAGTGTCTTGTTTACAGGCAATATCCTGCCACTACTGTAGCAGTGACTGTCATTTTGTGGATGTGAAGGACACAGTTCAGCAAACCATTGCAGATGAAATTGCAGAAATGGCCAACAAGAAATACGGCATTGCTAAGGAAGATGTTGACTTCACGGTAAGTAGCTGATAATATATCATGATCTGAATCGTCCACCATTTAAATCGTCAAATATATTTGTCTTGAAAGACTGCACTTTGTATTGGAATATACGTTGGGTTTGAATAAAAGTTGTGTGTTTATTTTGCAGGCGATTTGGAAAATGAGAAGCAGAGACATCAGAGGGACCTCAACATGGTGAAGTGACCCCAAGAACAATTGTACCTGCCCACCCTTAAAACTACAGTAAACTGGTCTAGATCAGAGAACAGAAGAGTCTAAAAGCCAGGATGGTGGACAAAAAATTGTGAAACTTAAATTATGTATCATAAAACAGTGATTTGTTTCTGATTTTGTTGATTAGAAGATGGTAAACAAACTCAATACATTTCAACAAGACTTCTGATGCTGACACTTGAAAATTGTCAATTTGGAAATATCTGTGACTCAAAGTTCACCAAACGTTTTCTGATGAAAATGTGCCTGTGTCTTTCATAATTTAATGTGATGTGAAACAATGGTTATCTGTACTATCACACTGACTCGCTTTATTAATTGATGCAAAGACGTCTGATGACAGTATTTCATAAAAGAAATGATAAAAATGGTCCATATGTTGTGTTGTCTTCCCGTTCCCAGAAACTAGAAACCAGTAGTGTGAATGTTGACAATGTATGACCGGAAGTGAATGCTACAGGAAATAACCACTACATTCTAGAAGTATGACTCTTGTCAGTGTATAATTGGAAATCAGTTCTGTTTCTGTTGCTGTTCATCAAAGATAGTTAGGCTTTATTCCTCAGAAAAAACCCAAATGATAAACACCATAAAGCATGTCTCCAAAGACTTGTGCAGTTATTTAAAATGTTAATACCATTTCATTTTTTTTATTTAGAGAAACCTTAATCATATTGGATTTTGTGAGTGTAAAACAATATCCCCAAAAATCTATTGTTTCTCTGTCCAACTTTCTTTAATTTTCCTATCAAAACATGACATACCTAAATATGTATTTTATCATTACCCATCACTGTTGGTAATAACTGGGGGTTATGATTGAAGTTTTAATTTCATACAGAATGTTGTATCATTTTACTGTTACACTCATGCAAGTCGATGTATATGCCTCTGTACCATTACCTCAAAAACTGACGAGAATGATGATGTATTTGTGAATTGGGCCAGTTAACATGATGTATAGTAAATAGGGATATTTTTTTGTAGGTACCTTTTTGCAGAGTTTCTCTAAAATATTGTTATTCAAAAAATTGTAAACATTAAAACTGAGAATTTGTTTAATGATTGGTGAACTTGTACAGAAAATGTCAGATAGGTATTACAGTGCCTCTACAGCAGTGGGACTGGGTACCTGATCAAGTGAATATCTGCTTTAGTGTTATAACCTTGGACCCATCTGTTCAAAGTTTGGTTTGCTTAAAGACAACTTAACACAAAATTTAAACTATCATTATATCTTCAATGTTGAATTGATCATCTACTGATAACAAACACTAAAATATTGTAAATGTTTACATAGTTCTCAAACATCTTTTTTTTTAATATTTGCGTGAACAGCTGGTTAAGCTAACCAGACTTTGAACAGATTAGTTCAGGGCTCTATAATATAATGTATTGTTAGTTTGCAGTTGTAATTTATTGATAAAATAATGATGTGATGAATTTGTTATTAAAGAATGATTATTTTCAAGTTTGTTGTTTATTTGTTCTATTTAGTACTCCGCAGTAAGAAGAGTCACCTTTTAAACTATGGAAGGGAGATAAATTGTTGTTATTACAACATACTAAAACACGTCAGAACATGGTCTTTTTAGTGTTTTTATTGTTAAATGTACCAAATATAGTACGTCTATAAAAAGTACAATAAATAAAGGTTAATTAAAGACAAAACGTTAATGCGTAGTACCAAGTATCTCCACACATATACAGTGTATATAGAGGTTTCCCCAAATAATGATCGTTATCATGTTTATCTAACTGGAGTGACATGTACTGTAGTTAATTTTTAGATTTTAAAAAGACGAGGTGTATCCAGTGTTTTTTGCAATATTAACTAATGAGAGTTGGATAAAGATGATAATCAGCCATCATCAGTTTGTGGACATGTGTCTCCCACAACGATCAGATAGTATATCCAGAAAACCAAAAGTATGTGGCCCTCTGTCTCCCACAACGATCAGATAGTATATCCAGAAAACCGTAAGTGTGTGGACCTCTGTTTCCTACAACGATCAGATATTATATCCAGAAAACCATAAGTTTTTGGACCTCTGTCTCCCACAACGATCAGATATTATATCCAGAAAACCATAAGTTTTTGGACCTCTGTCTCCCACAACGATCAGATATTATATCCAGAAAACCATAAGTTTGTGTGACCTCTGTCTCCCACAACGATCAGATAGAATATCCAGAAAACCGTAAGTGTGTGGACCTCTGTCTCCTACAACGATCAGATATTATATCCAGAAAACCGTAAGTTTGTTGACCTCTGTCTCCTACAACGATCAGATATTATATCCAGAAAACCTTAAGTTTGTGGACCTCTGTCTCCTACAACGATCAGATAATATATCCAGAAAACCATAAGTTTGTGGACCTCTGTCTCCCACAACGATCAGATAGTATATCCAGAAAACCATAAGTATGTGGACCTCTGTCTCCCTCAACGATCAGATACTATATCCAGAAAACCGTAAGTTTGTTGCCCTCCGTCTCCTACAACGATCAGATATTATATCCAGAAAGCCGTAAGTTTGTTGACCTCTGTCTCCTACAACGATCGGATATTATATCCAGAAAACCGTAATTTTCTCTTGGGAATACATTATTATTATTATAGTGCTATGAACTACTGTATGATGTCAAAGTAGAAAATGAACTTGCAGATCATTGTTACTTGACTTCAAAATTAGTAAATTGACCAATGAAATAACGTCTTGAGTGGTTACACAGGTCGTAAACGAAAACCTTTACCAGTTCCTGTACCTAGCAGGTTTATCTAATGAGTTGGGAGTGAGGAAACCTATACCTACAGTGGTTGTTGGAATAATAGTGTGTCGATACTTCTCTTTTATACACTTGTGAGTCCCCCGTTTGAACCTATATATAATAGTAGGTAATCCATTCATCCATAAAAGAGGAGTCGTCTTTCAAATATTTGCCACTTGGGCCACCTACAGCCCTACAGCCCTAAAGACGGCCACACCCCTAAGCTTGTTTTCGCAAAGAGTTGTCAGTGTCAGACCGACTTTTATTTAAAATCACTCCAGACAAAGTGAAGTGGTGTTTTAAAGATTTACCAGCATTTCATTTACAAAGATCAGTGTGTCGCACTGTGGGTGTAGAAGATCACCATTTGTTTATACAATCTTGAGTTCCCTTGATGCAGTGGTGTTTCATATCAAAACAGATTAAAATCCACCCACCTCTACTTAAGGAGTAGTCTTAATATCTTTAGGTAATATACAGGTGACGTAATACACCCATTAACTATTGTTTTAAGTTATTCATATGATAAGCTACTGGTATTTGGAGCTTGTATAACATTTAGGAACCAACTGATGTGAGTGAATGTGTGATTGAGGTGATGGTGATGGTGATGATGATGATGATGATGATGGTGGTCGTGATGGTGGTGATGGTGGTGGTGATGATGATGATGATGATGGTGGTCGTGGTGGGGGTGATGGGGATGATGATGATGATGATGATGGTGGTCGTGGTGGGGGTGATGGTGATGATGATGATGATGATGATGGTGGTCGTGGTGGTGATGATGATGATGGTGGTCATGGTGGTGATGATGATGATGAAGGTGGTCGTGGTGGTGGTGATGATGATGATGATGATGGTGGTCGTGGTGATGGTGGTGGTGGTGGTGATGCTGGTGATGATGATGATGGTGGTCGTGGTGGTGGTGATGATGATGATGATGATGATGATGGTGGTCGTGGGGGTGGTGATGATGATGATGATGATGATGGTGGTCGTGATGGTGGTGATGGTGGTGGTGATGATGATGATGATGATGATGATGATGATGATGATGGCGGTCGTGGTGGTGGTGGTGGTGATGATGATGGTGGTCGTGGTGGTGATGATGATGATGGTGGTCATGGTGGTGATGATGATGATGAAGGTGGTCGTGGTGGTGGTGATGATGATGATGATGATGATGGTGGTCGTGGTGATGGTGGTGGTGGTGGTGATGATGGTGATGATGATGATGGTGGTCGTGGTGGTGGTGGTGGTTGTGGTGATGATGATGATGACCATCACCACCACGACCACCATCATCATCATCATCATCATCACCACCATCACCACCACCACGACCACCACCATCATCATCATCACCATCACCTCAATCACACATGCACTCACATCAGTTTGTTCCTAAGTTTTATACAAGCTCCAAATACCAGTAGCTTATCATATGAATAACTTAAAACAATAGTTAATGGGTGTATTACGTCACCTGTATATTACCTTAAAACGTTTATGACCGAAGAAGACTTGAATGCTAAGTCTTTGACTGCTGAAGGCGACGGCCATTTATGAATACAGTTGTGTTTCGTGTGGAAAATGCGTTGTATTTGGTCACGTCTTAAATTATAACCTATGGAAGATAATCGATGTAAGCACTATTATAAAGCACAAGTTAACATTTAAAACGACATATAACAATGATATATGACCATTTACTTTTATAGCCTCTTGTTTAACTGGGCTGTATTTATGGTTTATGCCATAAAGAATTAAATAGGCTATCTCGTTGACAAGGTAGCTCACTCGGTTAAAGCGATAGTATAACAATCTGAAGTCCTGGGTTAGCGTCCCGGTATAGCCCGTTGAATTTTTTTCTCTCTCAAAACACCGTTGTTGATAATATTTTGTTTATTTCTTTTTTATCATTAGCTAACAATCCCGAGGGGCTATTGAGCTTATGCCCTGGTGCGGCATCTGTTGTATGCCCGTCCCTCCGGTGTCCATCAAGAATGGACAGGCCTAGAGTCATGATATTTGGGTGATAGTTTTGTTGGTTAGTATCAAACAATTCAAATTAGTTCTTCTGAATAATCTAAAAGCATAGAATTTTAATATTTGGCTGGTAACTGTCATAGATGGAGTCCGACAAAGCTGACAAATGAAAATTACCCCAACCTACTTTCAAGGTCATAGGGGTCACTTTTGAAGAAGTGAAAGGCATGGAGTCGTGATATTTAACAAGTATCTTCCTGAGATGGAGCCCAACAAAGTTTGCGATTGAAAATGACCTTTGCCTACTTTATCCTATTGGTTTATCTTAATCTAATTTGATATAGAGTAATACTTGGCCCAACATGATTCAAAGTTGTAGAAACTCTGCCCTCATCCCAATGGGGACAGGAGGATGGGACCGATGAAGGTGAGGGTGTTGCTGAGAGACAGAGCCAATATTTGGAAATATTTGTAGTACAGTATAATATATGTTTAATATTTTGCTATGACTGTTTAACTAAGTATCCAGGTGAGCGATAACGGCCCTCTGGTTAACGCCTACATTGGTGGGACTAATACCAGGTGAGCGACACAGTCCCATTTGGCCTCTTGTTTGCCATAACAGTCCCACAAGGTATGGTTTTCTTTTCAGATCTATCATGGCAACTGTGTATTTATGTTGGGGAAGAAATATCCTCGTCTCCAATGCGTAGTTACAGCTTTTGGCAGTGGTGCGGTACGGGGGTCCTTAATGAACACAATTTAGACATGCGCATAAAATGATCAAATACATTAAGATATTTTGATTTTAAACTGTACATGTGTGTAACTTTATAACATACATGTTACCTTGTTATCATATGAATATATGCCTGGAAAAAAGCATTAATAAGTTGAAATCCCATGCTCATGTTTGGCAATAAATGAACATGTTTTTAAATTAACAATGTTTTCAGTTGGTAGGTTTATTAAGAGGCTGTGCACAAAACGTTTTAATATTAAGTAATGGCAACATAAACTACTTATAAATAGACTAATACAATGTAAAAGATATATATCACTTTATAAATAGTCCTGTTATTATCACTGTATGTTAATGTACTAGAAATTTCTTTCATTTTTTTTAATAAAAGCAAAAACAAAAACATATTCGCACTTTTCTTTGGTAAAAACTACGTAATCTGCATTTCCGTATGGAATATGCATATTGTTTGGAAGCAAAATGTAACTTTTACAACTATGATATCTATTGTTTTATTTGCTGATCACCCATTAGTTGAGCTGGGTTCTGCTATCCGAAAGAGATTCCTTAAAGCCAGCGTTGTTCCTGCGCGTGCGGTACCGAGTGGGCCCTGCCTTGGACAGTGTAGGCTGGATCTTGCTGACGTCATCCACACTGCCTTGACTGCCTTTCGCGCCTCGGCGCTTCTTCAGTGATTCGTTTTCCTGTTTCTCCCGTTCCAGTTCAGCCTCTACCTTACACAGCTGTTCTGACGTAGAATCCATGCGGTTCTGGAACACCTGTGACTTGATCCGGTGGGATACTTGTAAGTTCCCCTTCAGCTCTTTCAAAGACACCTCGGATTCTGAGAACATCTTGACACATTGGTCAAGCACAGTTCTCGAATTTCCCGCTTCCGCAACTCTTATATAACGGACCAGAACATCAGCCGGTTCATCCTTTTTGTTCCTTGTTGACGAAGAAGTGGTGTCTGTCTTGGAATCGAGTGGAAGTTTTTTTAGACTGTTCAATAACACCCTTTCACATTTTTCTTTCATCACATCCATCTTGTATTCCTCCACTAGAGGCAGCAACCTGAGGGCTGTTCTTTCTGTGTAAAATAAAAACAATACTAATTCAATCAGTTACAGTATAATATATATGTCATCGAAAGTTGGTTTATCCACCAGCTATGAATCCGAAGCTACTGTGTAATACATGTAATTATCAACTAATCTCCCTGTCGATGCGGACTGGTTAAAATATTTATATACAATTATGGACTTTGGTTATGGTGAATATGAGAATGCGACGGCGAGGGAACGAAGACGCGAAAACACGACGGCGAGGGAACGAAGACGCGAAAACACGACGGCGAGGAAGCGAGAACACGACGGCGAGCCTGGAAACACGATGGTGTGAGAGCGGGTTTAGTCTCGTTCCCTCGCCATCGTATTTTCCCTCCCTCACAGTCATTTTTAGCGCTTTTGCTCTCTCACCGTTATCGACTTTAGGTCGAGAGAGCAAGATCACGATAGGGTTCACCATATTACAGGTTACGGAATAGCTGTTTATGCATGTATTTATCAATCGGTACACAGATTGTAACATAATGCATTAGTTTTCTAATATGACACTATACTACGATTGTTTGATATAAAAATAGTGTCCGCTTACATGTACAATGTATATATGGTCCGGAAACCAACATTTAAACATGCCTATAATTCCTTCAAAACGTCAACGTACGTCATTTTTTTCTGGGTTTATGACGCGATTAGTTTGAAGTCATCGTGCGCTCTGACAGTTTTGATAGTGTCATATTGCAACTTGAAAATCTAAGAAAAAATAGCGTCCCTGAACTCTTGTATGATGTTTTAAGAGAATTTTGATAATCTCTTTAATGTAGATATTTTTTATCATAATTACATGCGTCCGGAATTCACTAAATTATGTAATGTTGTGAATTAGAAGATAGCATAGGCTATATAATACTTATCTAGGTCAGTTTGCATCTATAGCATTTAATGATAAAGTTTTTGTCATATTTACGAGGTTTTGTACTGTACAAACCAGGGCCGCTTTCGTTAATCGCGATCCAAACTGTTGGACAAGTGTTGTTCGTTTACGAAATAGGGTCGGACCTAGTAATCTGATGCTGCCTTCAGACGAGCCTTGACAAAGCCTTACAATGCCTGCATAAACACTTGCAGGTCCGCCAGGATTTATACCCGAAAATGTTACATTTAAATACGGACAAACCGGTAGTTCCTAATATACGAACAGACCCCAGCAATGTTTCTGGACTATTACTTGGTTATATTGCACACAGGAGCTAAACTGTCAAAACTTTCCGGACTAATTAGCTTTGACTGATAATACAAACCAACAAAGTTTCCAGACCGACTAGGTTCTACAGTACGTTCCTATAGACTAAGGGGTCTCTACTGTATAAACAAGTTAAACACTGGACGCTTTAGAACGAGATTCCATTGAGAACACAGAAACCAAAGTGTCCAGACTAATAGAGTTTTTATGTTTATACGATTCACGAATATGTCGTGACTGCTGAGGTTCCAACAATAACACAAGCGAAAGTGTCCACACTCATGAAGTTCTACTGTAATATATAATGAATGCGCACCTTTTTACCCCTCTCCCCTTCCCCTCACGAAAACGTTCTTCAAATACGATTCAAATTGACTGAAATGGCGTTTGTTGATGAAATGTTCTCCCACCATCCACATAATTTTCTCCTGTTTCAAATGTTCATTAGTCTTCTAGGGTATGATTTTATCTGTCATATCCCCCCCCCCCCCCCCCCCCCCCCCTGTATATGACTAGAATACTACTATGACGTCACGAGAACAATAAGATATGACATCACAATCTGCTCTCTGTGCAAATCCGGACATAAGCAGAATACAAATGCTGAAAACTATCGTTTTAAAATATAACACTGGAATGATAGCAGAAAAAGGACAAGTCCCTTTCTTTATGGTGTAACAGAGACATATTTAACCATTTGGGTGACTAGTTGGTTGTGTGCTCGGGTTGTTCATAATAAAAACGGTAAAAATGTACCAGTAGGTGACATGATGACATACCATTGAGGTCTTTGTTGACAGCCGGATGTAGGACAGACAAGAGATCGACGAATTCCTGGTAAACTTTCCCCACAATCTTTAGTTCCATTTTGTCTGATTTCTTCTTCTCATTTTGATGCTCTGTGAGAACTTGGTTAAAATAGACAGACGCGTAGCCTAGGAGTGAACGATTAAGGAAGAGTTTCTTTTCCTCTATCACGAGAACAAGATCCGTATAGGAGTCCTCTGTCAAGAAAGGCAACGTGGAAGACTTTTTGCCACCCTTCTTGGCATCCACAGGCGCGACATCCTGAACAGAACCTTTCGTAGCTTGTGTCGTCCGTCTGTCTTGGACAGTCCGTCGGTCTTGGACTGGCAGCGTTCCCGACATTTCAATTATAATCAGAACGTATATATATCTGAAATGTTAAGTTCGATCTGATGAAGTACAGCGTTAGGGCGCTGTCAGCGTACTATAGACAAGATAACCATCCCAGGTAAGCGTTATTGATATAAATGCTGTTGATCCAGAGAGAAGTGGTTTATGTACATGTATATACATAAAAAGTCTATACGTACACAACTCACCTGTGTTCAGGTAGACTAAAATTAATCAAGTTTTATTTATTGACAAAGTATATTTACAATGTTCTTCACGACATCCCAGTGTCTATACACAAGTATTGACTGATCTGTGCTTTGAGTGGAGGAATCTTATCTCGAGTTTGTATGTAAACCTATTATGGCGTTACCGGATAGAAACACCTGCCTGAATGCACTCTATCTGTGCCCAAGGATAACACATGACCAGCAGCGCTGTACATAAAGGTTATATGTTATATGAACAAACACAAAAGCGAGATCTTGTGACTGTCCATGAAGCTTAGTATGGGATGATCGGCCCTCTATAACGGTACATTATGGATCGCCATTTGATTACACGTCGAAAGCAGTCAATATATAAACGTGAATGTCGCCAGGTAATTTCACATATTGAGATGCTGTTATATATCGATTCATTGTGTACTACATGTAGGTCTACAACCGTTAAAAAACCTCATTTGAATAATAATGAACGGGCCAATGAACGTTAATGAAAATTACTAATTACTTGTCGGGGGAAAAGCCTCGAAAAAATATTAAAAAAATCAATCAATAAATGACAACAACGTATTGTAGTTCGTCAGAATCCCAGAAAATTGTTTTGTGCAATAAATCTAAATTAGCAAGGCTTTATTTGTAGATGCGGCGCATTGTATGCATTCGCTTACATGTGTTTTTTTGCCTTGTTAATTTCCCCGTCTATTGTACGATAGATCTATGATACTGAACCAATACCCTGCACCTGTATGGAGGAATGTCGGGCACTTTCCGTAATAGCTTTATGATGTAACAGCACTTTATATTTCAACAACCCCCGGTAGAGACGTGCCACTATTGACATGTATATGGCCCTTTAACAATCGACGTTTGCGACACTGTGATATATTTACACAGACATTAGAATTTTAATTGTTTAAATCCTGAAAAAATAATAAACTGGAAGGAAACATTAACCCCGAATGAGTCGAATGTTGTCAGTATAAAACGAACTTTCTGTGAGAATTTACCAAATGTATCCTTTTTTTTTTTTGATAATAAACTGTTAAACGTTTTGGCCTTTTTAGGCCAGTCGGGAATTGTCGGCACTTAACGAGAAATTGTTTTCTCGTTTACGGAAAGTGCAAACGTTTCCCGACTGCGTTTAGGCTTAAAGAGTACGCCTGGGATATGTTCATATAAAATATTGAAGATCGTGTGACATTTTATCTGCGTTCCTCGACGGACTTGAATTATTTAGAAGATGTTTTCCTCACCAACAATAGAAACCATGGGTTACTAGAACCGTTTGTCTATTAAAATATTTATCCATTGATTTGCCGACGAAACTATTATTTCGGGCGCGGCTGATTGCTTACAAACTAACTAAGAGCTTTTGAATTGTCAATATTTACGAACAACTTTTGTTTCCAAGCAGAAAATGTAGGATGCCTCATCATTTGTATCATGTAATGAAGAGCTATATGTACTGGAATCGGATCCATACCGAAGAGTTAGTGTTTTGTTAGATCGAACCGATCCTCACAAGTGGACAAAACGAAAGTTGCATATTGTGTAGAAAAATCATAAATATTTCAGATACGGTTTTGACAATTGAAAGTTTTTCATTCCCTTGTATTACCCATTTAAATATATTCCGCAGATGGTTGGAGTAGCAATAGAAAAGTAGTTATAAATCCACCGATCTACAACTCTGTAGACGAATCTGTAGAACGAGCAGGTATCCATTACTGTAGAATGATAACATGTTGGTAAAAATAATATCTTACGAAATGAAATCCTGTAAAATGTACACATTAAATGTTCAAAATACAGTAAAAAGGAAATATGTAATCTGAAAGGCTTCAATATGTCTTGAACACCCTCACAGAACGTGTTCGCTGAATGGAGATAAATAGTTTTCCAAAAAAACGGTTGAAGAACAATTTATCCCTAAATGGTTTAACGATATGCAGTCTTGAAGAATATTCAAACAAATAACAGGCTTAAGGCAGAACATGCAATGTGAAATTCCGTTTTTTAGATACACGGACAGTGGACAGACATATTGATTATGAAGTGTAACAGTGACAACACGGACAGTGGACAGACATATTGATTATGTAGTGTAACAGTGACAACACGGCCATTGGACAGACATAATGATTATGAAGTGTAACAGTGACAACAGGGACAGTGGACAGACATAATGATTATGAAGTGTAACAGTGACAACAGGGACAGTGGACAGACATAATGATTATGAAGTGTAACAGTGGCAACAGGGACAGTGGACAGACATAATGATTATGAAGTGTAACAGTGGCAACAGGGACAGTGGACAGACATAATGATTATGAAGTGTAACAGTGACAACAGGGACAGTGGACAGACATATTGATTATGAAGTGGAACAGTGACAACAGGGACAGTGGACAGACATATTGATTATGTAGTGTAACAGTGACAACACGGACAGTGGACAGACATATTGATTATGTAGTGTAATAGTGACAACACGGACAGTGGACAGACATTGATTATGAAGTGTTACAGTGACAACATGGACAGTGGACAGACATATTGATTATGAAGTGTTACAGTGACAACACGGACAGTGGACAGACATACATTTGTACATATATCATAGTGACACATAATAATATGAAATCTACCGACACGGACAGACGACAGACACATCCATCCATCCATCAGGATGAGCACCAACATACACAGGCGCTAGATGATAGTTGTTAGAAAATGAAAGATGATATGTATTCAATTCTTACTGCCATTATATGATTCTGTTTATTACCCGACACTCGTTTGAGTGCGTTATAATTACTTTACTTGTGTACACTAGGGGGGGTTCAAGGTATCCCAACGTTTCTGAGACTTATAAGACCAATCGGTCTTGAAATGTTGCGACAAGTTTGATACGTATTATAACACGGGATTAGATGTTATCTAAGTCCGTGGTATTAATGTTTGTGGATAAAAAACCATTGATGTTACATATTTCCAAACTGATGAATCTTATTAAAGACATCCACAGTGTATATATGTGTTGTTGCCTGTTATTATATACGTGTATTGTACATAGATACCTAAGCCCGACTTCAAATAACATTATAAATGTTTATGTTATTTAATTCAAATGCAGTTTGATTAATGACTTCTGTTACGTATGCTCCTTTTCATTATCTACCTCCTTCCTGTGCCATATCTACCTCCTTCCTGTGCCATATCTACCTCCTTCCTGTGCCATATCTACCTCCTTCCTGTGCCATATCGTATTCCTGACGGAGTCAATTTGACAAACAAAGTTAATTATTTGTTGAGCTCTTGAGAGACTGATTTTAAAACTGCAATGCGAATGGTATTTTTAGAATACGAATGGTATTGAACACAAGCGCTTGCATAGATGAAACAGTTGTTTAAGTAATTATGGTATGAATACGTCATGTATAGTTATTTATATATATAGGTTATATAATATTGATAACATGTATGTCACGTCATATTATAAACACTGATATAAACATTTCATATTAACGGCAGGAGCCTGTTGTATTGTGTAAGGTCATGTCAGTGTATATAGTATGAGATGGGCTCATAATATAACCTTTCCTCAAAATGATAAAAATATGGAAGTTGGTTGGTATACCAAAGGTCAAGAACAATGTCAATAATGACCTTTGTAGAAATTGTTTGTTGAAAATATTGTTGACTTTGTCTGAAAAGTAACGTTTGAATGCAGAATTTTAGTGGCGCAAAATTGCAATGATTAATGAAATTAATGAAAAAACATATAAATTACCTGTAAATGCATTTCTGAAGTATCCATGTATTGACTATTATCGAGAAAAATGTAAGGAAAATGTGTCAAATCTCTAGAATATGTAATGGCATAATTTTCATCTGAATTCAAACATTCAAATTTCAAACAACAACAATTCTGGTTTTTGAATGGCAACATGTGATTTTCATGCAATATTTCTTTTGATTCAATATATCACAGCAGTGACAGTTGTAGAACAGATTGACTTGTTGGAACCCTTTACCCTAACTTAGTATATTAACATATTGTAAATATTTTATATCAGAGGTATAGACACGCAAGGAACAAGTAGGAGAAACAAAAACAAAATACTTATTATCAATATTTTAATAGAATTAAATTGATTTTATTGAAAAGTTAACATTGTTTTTACACATTCACAACATTGCCGTTTGAAAGGATACACACAGTGACCATAAACTTATTATAAAACTAGTTTAATGTTTGTAAAACAAGGCATAATGCTTTTTTTAATACATTCTTTGGAAGAAAACTTGTGACCTTTGACCTGTAGCCTAGAACCGAATGGCACTTCATTGTTGTACCAGCTTTGCTACTTCTACACACATAGGTTGGTTTGGTGGCATTTCATTTGTTACTAAGTAACAAATTGATGGTGAACATTTTTTAAAGTAAGCAACCTATTACTGGTTAAGGTCAAAACCTTAACCAGTAATTGGCAGACATCTTTTTGTCTTAACAAACATAAGTACAAAGTTTGAACTGGTAATAATTAATCCATATAATATTTTCAGAAATATTTTATGAATTCACAACATTTCAACTTTACCACTGCACACATGTCACATTCCCAACAGTGATTAAGTTTTTATGTCGAAGCTTGTCAGGTGCAGTTCAATGTTTATGCCAGTATCACGTGTAGTTACTATTTTAGCTATTGTTTACTTGGTTATTTTCCCTCAGTGACCAGAAGACCATTGTACAGGTAAAGTTACAGGTATAAAATGTTTACATATACTATTGATGGTATATCAGTAGGATATAGTTCTTTACACAGCCTAAGTTATTGGTTGTTATCAACTTCTCAAATCTACGACTTGAAATGAAAAAGAGCTCTGGATCTTTTTCATGCCTTTTATACAATGGCAATATGTGACGTCATTATAAATGACAAAATAATGTCATTTGCCACCGTCGTTTGATTCAAACTTCAGGTAGCAAAATAAATAAAAATCTGAGGTAATCATAAGTGCAATTTTACAGAAATTTATAATTTGCAAATAAAAAACAATTGTAGGTATATATGCAATAGAATCAATATCATACATAAGACATTTTAAATTCTGACTTTGCAGACAGGACTGGTTTACCGACATAAATACACTATGAATATAGCACTAGTTGAGATATTCTTCTGCTACATGTAACTGTGAAGTCTGAACAAGGCAGGTTGTATTGCTTACACCATATGCATACATGTATAATGTTAACATCTTATACAGTGAATGTAACATTGTTGTCTATATCTTATGTACTCTGCTTCTCAGAAGCCACAGTCTGTTATGCTTGCACAATATTAATGATAGCATTTGAATGTAACTAGTTATATTAGAAGTGCTGATTAGCACTTTCTCAATATATCTGAGTCGCTATGGAAACCTGAGTCACACATGCAGCATATCCCAGTCACTCTTAGATGCTCGAGTCACTCAGGATACCAAGGTTACCATACCTGAGTCAAGGACATCACTCAAGCCATTTACCACAACCGAATCATGGATACCCAAGTCACTCAGCATGCATACCTGAGTTACTCTGGATACCCGAATTACTCTGGATACCCGAGTCACTCATGGCATATACCTGAGTCAGTCTGGATACAAGAGTCAATCAATATAGCAGAGTTACTCAGCACACCTGAGTCACTCTGGATACCAGAGTCACTCAGTATACCCGAGTTTCTCAGCATACCTGAGTCAGTCTGGTTACCCGAGCCAAACTAAAGAGTTATTTTCATTTGTAACTTTCTACACTACTTATATTTACTATACAATGATTTTCTCCGTTTTAAGTGAAAGCCTATAAACCATCAAAAATATTTCCATCATAGCTATCTTGACATTTTAAATTTTCAAAATCAAATTGAAGTTTAATGAACACTCTTGTTATCACAAGAAGGGGAAACATTATAGATAATTAAAAATTGTAAGTGTCTAGACACATACTGATTACTTAATACAGCTGTCAAGATGTATGAAAATCATGACTCATCAATAAGTTTTTTAAACTCTAAAGAATTGCAAAATGTTTGACTCAAGATATTACCCACTACACATAGGTATACAAATGGATCAACAGATAATACGCAACACATGATCAACATCAAAATCAAGGCATTGTTTCTACATTAATAGTTAGGCTTACAAAGTTAGAGGTAACCACATATCAATTCAAAATCCATGATTCACACAGAATTCGGAAAATTAACAAACCAAAACTGGGAACATATCACAAGTCTTTGAAACAACATACCCATTACAGTCAAGCCTCACTAACCCAGTACTCCTCCTTGAACTTTCCAGGTAAACCACAGGAGTTTGACATTATAAATTCAAATTCAAATTAGTTTATTATAGTGTCACATGTAAAAGGTACAAGTATTACAATCTCTAAAATATGTCTATAGTCACCCACCCTTACATCCAGTCTATATTAGACTTACGAGACACTCCTTCTTCCCCTATCTAGATTCTAGACTGTAAAAGTATTACATATATGTACATACTTATGAATTAAAAACTCTGCCAATATAAAACTATAAAAATAATTGACATTAAAAGACACATTACTGCTTAATTATAGATCTAGTTGCGACGTCGATTAAGAATACTAGCACAGGTTTTGGCACAGGACCTCGCCAAGTAAGGGTTGCTTAGAATTACAGCTTACTTTTCATCTTTACTCATATTGTAAAAATCACTTGTGATTTTATTAGCCTCCTGCAATAGACCCGATCGGAGATCATCATACAAGTTACATTCTATTAAAACATGACTCTGTTTCTACCATGCTTTTACACGCGAAACACTTTCTTTCACTCAAAGGTGCAACCCCCGCCTAAACTTAGCTAGCGCACTACGATGTGATTTAGGCATTACTAACATATTATAATTTTCAACCTCATAATTAAACTTAAATAACCTTTACATACTTAGTTTGTTACCTCCAGAAATACAAGTTTTGGCTCCGGGACGGTTAAGGTCCCTTTTCCAATTTTCAATAAACAATTCCAAGCCACGGACCTTAGCGTCCTTAAGTAAATTTTTACTATTAATTGGACCTATGCTATAGTTATCCAAGCCTAGTTCCCCGAGTCTGGAAATTACTCTGAAGTTCCAATTTTCATTTCGGTGGTTACCTGATATATGCTCGCTCCATGTAAATACAGCCTTATTCAATCTAGTATCCGACAGATTATGAAAACGACTCCAATGTCTAAAAACAGCTTGCCATTGGTTCACTATAACTGGAGTCCAACCCATGTCCCCGCTAACAGCTACATTAGGTGCATAGCGACCAAGGCCTAGATAAAATCTACATACGCAATTTTGAATAGCCACAATACAACTACCGTAAATGTACGTGTACCTCATATAGCAGCACCGTAACTAATTACTGGCCACACTGTACTCTCATACAGTTTTGTGAAGGTTTTATATGGTAAGCCTCCCATTGATTTAGATTTAGCTATTAACAAACCAAGTGCTCTACCCGCTGATTTGGCCACGAGTTTTGCCGTTACATTAAAATCCAAGTGTTCCGTAAATGTAAGACCCAGGTATGTATATTTCTAGGTCTAGCTTCCCACACGAAAACATACTATCACTGACTGTTACAGACGTTGGACGGAAATGTACAATAGCCGACTTATCAGCGTTAATATTAAGTTTATTGGATTCACACTAAGTATTAAGACCATTTAGTAATAACTGGAGACCACGCTCAGTACTAGCCATGATCACCAGATCATCTGCATAGAGTAGGGCACATATTTTATGCTCCGTTATCTCTATATCAGCCCCCAAACTATTCAAATATGTTATTAGGTCATTAATATACAAGTTGAATAAAATCGGTGATAAAGTACATCCTTGTTTTAAACCGCACGTCACGTCAAACCACTCCATACTTAATCCATTTACTCTCACACAGCTTAGTACATTTTTATATAAAGACTTTATAGCTGAAAAGAGGTTACCAGTAATTCCTAGTTTATTTAGTTTATATCAAAGAAATTTAACACTAGATGAAAAAACAGTCTCAATACTGTGGTTTTTTTTATATTAAAAGGTTGTTTTTTCATCTAGAGTGTTATAGTCTATTTAAGCATTATACAGCATTCTGTTCAGTGTTATGAGCCTTTAACAAGGAACAGGATTGCAGACAAAATTAATAACGCACGTTATTCAGTGCAATATCAAGCACAAGGTTGGATCACATTTATATAATATTGTGGATGTACTTTGAATTTTGTTTCCTAATTATTGTCAGTACTCTCACGAACTTATATAATCTAATTCCGTGGTACCCTGTACATAGGGATCATACATGTATTACAATCAGCATAATGTCATACATAGGATTGTAAAAAGTTCAAGTCCAGTAAAATATTGTATAATAGATCGGTATCATCACAACGTCATTTCCATCGATGACTATCACAGAGAAGAGTTAGCTGCTGGAACAGTCAGTGTCACCCTCCGACTGGACCGTGATCTGTCTGTGGACCTGAAAGACAAGAATATATACAGATATACCTAGGTAAGTCATGACCATGATTGCTTCTTGTTTAAGTGGAAATTCTCATGTGTGGAAATGTTTGCGTTGCGACTCTTTTAAATGATCACAGTGCGATTTTTTTTGTGTTGGAAATAGTTCTGAAATCTATATATTCTAAATATAAATATATAAACAGTATATATAATCCATAAATACATATTCATGTGGATATTTTCACGCTTATTTACTAAACGTGATGAAAGAATATCCACTGCATGATAAATCCTCCCGCCAAAACAGGTATATTACACCAGTTGCAGCAGTCAGAATTTTCATCTTTTCCATTCTACCATTTTTTTCCACAACTCAAACACTTTTGTTTCCTCCTTGGCATACCCAGTTTTCACTGCTCTGTATTAATTACCTCTTTGTGTTGATAACTTGATTGTTTGTTAAATCAAATCATTAAATTTTGTCAAAAGGTAGCACCAGATGTACTTTGGATATCATAGCTGGGTTTATAGATAAGTCTGGTTTCCTTGACATGGTATGAAGCTTTTTAACTTACTTGTATAGTATAGGATTGACCTTGATTACTTACTTGCATACAATATGCACTGTGACCCCTGGGTCAACCTTGACACTGTCTTTCACATCCTGCCAGGTAGTGCCATTGTCTGTACTGTAACACAGTGGGAGTCCAGGGTAGGCTGATGTCACGCTTAATTTATCACCTTCAATCCTGAAACATAACCAACAGTACACTTCAGTTCTATAAACATGAACATTTCATTTACGTACATGTATGACTGACCATGAATTTGAAAATAAAATAAACACTTCTAGAATTCCCTTCCAGTAATAAGCCATAATATGGATCCTTCATCCCTGCCACAACATACATGGGTGGTGGTGGGGGCATTGTGACACTACAGGAGTGGTGGTGGGGGCATTGTGACACTTCAGGGATGGTGGTGGGGGCATTGTGACACTACAGGAGTGGTGGTGGGGGCATTGTGACACTTCAGGGATGGTGGTGGGGGCATTGTGACACTACAGGGGTGGAGGTGGGGGTATTGTGACACTACAGAAATGACGGTGGGAGTTGGGCATTACAGGGGTGGAGGTGGGGGCATTGTGACACTACAGGAATGGCGGTGGGGGCATTGTGACACTACAGGGGTGGAGGTGGGGGTATTGTGACACTACAGAAATGACGGTGGGAGTTGGGCATTACAGGGGTGGAGGTGGGGGCATTGTGACACTACAGGAATGGCGGTGGGGGCATTTTGACACTACAGGAATGGCGGGGGGGGCATTGTGACACTACAGGGGTGATGGTGGGGCCATTGTGACACTACAGGGATGGTGGTGGGGGTTGGGCATTACAGTGGTGATGGTGGGGGCATTGTGACACTACAGGGATGGTGGTGGTGGGAGCATTGTGACACTACAGGAGTGGTGGTGGGGGTATTGTGACACTACAGGGGTGGTGGTGGGGACATTGTGGCATTACAGGGGTGGTGATGGGGGTATTGTGACACTACAGGAGTGGTGGTGGGGGTATTGTGACACTACAGTGGTGGTGGTGGTGGTGGTGGGGGGCATTGTGACACTACAGGAGGGGTGGTGGGGGAATTGTGACACTACAGGGGGGGTGGTGGGGGCATTGTGACACTACGGGGGTGGTGGTGGGGGCATTGTGACACTGCAGGGGTGGTGGTGGGGGCATTGTGACACTGCAGGGATGGTGGTGGGGGCATTTTGACACTACAGGAGTGGTGGTGGGGGCATTGTGACACTACAGGGGTAGTGGTGGGGGCATTGTGACACTACAGGGGTAGTGGTGGGGGCATTGTGACACTACAGAGGTGATGGTGGGGACATTGTGACACTACAGGGGTGGTGGGGGGCATTGTGACACTACAGGAGTGGTGGTGGGGGCATTGTGCCACTACAGGAGTGGTGGTGGGGGCATTGTGACACTACAGGAGGGGTGGTGGGGGAATTGTGACACTACAGGGGGGGTGGTGGGGGCATTGGGACATTACAGGGGTGGTGGTGGGGGCATTGTGACACTGCAGGGATGGTGGTGGGGGCATTTTGACACTACAGGAGTGGTGGTGGGGGCATTGTGCCACTACAGGAGTGGTGGTGGGGGCATTGTGCCACTACAGGAGTGGTGGTGGGGGCATTGTGCCACTACAGGAGTGGTGGTGGGGGCATTGTGCCACTACAGGAGTGGTGGTGGGGGCATTGTGCCACTACAGGAGTGGTGGTGGGGGCATTGTGACACTTCAGGGCTGGTGGTGGGGGCATTGTGACACTACAGGGGGGGTGGTGGGGGCATTGTGACACTACAGGAATGGCGGTGGGGGCATTTTGACACTACAGGAATGGCGGGGGGGGCATTGTGACACTACAGGGGTGATGGTGGGGCATAATACAAGAGGCATCATGATTCAGGTTATTGGTGGGGGGTGGGCATTACAGTGGTGATGGTGGGGGCATTGTGACACTACAGGGGTGGTGGTGGGGGCATTGTGATAATACAAGAGGCATCATGATTCAGGTTATATCTTCCGGATTTTCGATACGTCTCGATCTGAATATAAGTGTATGCCGCTTCAGCTGAAATGTCTGTGAGACGTTCAATTTCATTGGCTGATCTCTAAACCCTCAGCCAATAGGCTGCGAGGATACAATTTTCACAAAGTATTCATAACAAAATGGCGGACTGCGGTAAGGAAATGAATATTTGATCGAATCGTGGTACAAATATCGAGATACGTATCGAATCATGGGTAAAGTGCAACGTGACAGCTCTAGATAATACAGTGTTGTTGTTGGGGACATTATGGCACTACAGGGGTGGTGGTTTGGGCATTTTGGCACTAAAGGGGGGGGTATTGTGGCACTACAGGGGTGGTGGTGGGGGAATAGTGGCACTGAACTCATCCTCTCTTAATGAAATGTTCCAGATTTCACTTCCAATGCATCTAGGATCTTCTCCCTTAATTGTGTCTTGCATTAAGGTAACCCCTTTTTTCTTTACAAACTTACCAAACTGTACGTGTTTATGAGCAGATAGCTCTGAAAATTTTCAGAGTTGGGGGAAGGATCAATTATAAACAAAGTGAGCTGCGGCTCACATAAATATACCCCCTTCCAAAGTGTTGAGTGTGACCTTTGACCCTTTAACCTTGACTGATGACTTCCCAAATATAATCATGTGTAGAACTGGATGTTACCACACTATGGTATTATGTAAATAGAAGTTACATCCGTTTAGGTGTTAGTGACATTGATATCTTATACACAAGCTTTTTTACTGAAAAAGTGGCCACTGGTCAACTGTCACCTTTGACCTTTTGGCCTTCACTGATGACAAGCAAAATCTAGAAAATGTAGAACTTGAAGTTATTAAGGCATTTATGTAAATATGAAAAGGGGTTAAAAACTTAAAAGGTTTATATCTTGTTCACAATTTTAACTCCAGTAAATACAGAACTGAAACAAAATTGTAGGCACATAAAGGGATGCATGCACATACTGATAATGTAATTTTTCTATTTACACTAAGAACACTGGAAATAAATTGTCTACCCAGGATGAATCTTCAATCCATCTTTAGTTGATCTTTGACATAAACTTTAGTCCAAATTTGGTTGATATATCACTTATACTTTTGGAGAAACAAACCTAAACTCAAAAACTTGACACTGACACCGAGGCTGTCACCACTTAGAAAAGTAACCCATAAGTCCCACCTTCAAGACATTCATATTCGATATTAAAATATTACCAACAAAGTTTTGGTGCTTATACAAACCTTTTAAACCTTTGCTTCATTTATAGTACCGCAAAAACATACACCTTTAATAGGTAATGTACACATTTAGGTACTGTATGCACTTGATTTTTACCTGAACCTAATCAATTCAACTTCAGCGTTTTTACTGTACTGTCTTAAGCAATTCTACCTAGCTGTACCTATATTGTCTGTTGTGTTACATTGGTCAGTCCCGCAGCTGTGATTTTTTTATGTTGGAGTTCCTGGAAAATGCACATACAGCTAGCTAGAAAGGAAAATAGTACCAAGGGACACAACTCCAACTGAATTGTCTGTTTTTAAAATCAATTCAAGCACCAAGACATTTTTTTCCTTATAGTCATACAGGTCACAAAGGCCCAAATAACCTGTCTTGGGTTCATATTACATATCTGGTTCCGTAATATGAAGTATAAGCCCATCTATTGGAGCTGCATGAATTTTACGTACCTGATACTACTATACAACTCTACACTTACCTAGCCCCGGGAGGAGGAATGTGATAAGTCACACCCATTTTATCCAGCCTGTGCAGTTCTCTGTATCCAAGAGAGTTCGAAAACTTTGTCCAGTCTGCAGTTTGGTCTTCTTTCCTTTTATCCACGTCAGCAACTTCCTCCCATGGTGCTTTGTGCCAGGCTCGTTCGGCCAGTGCCTGAAGGCGTGGGTGGATCATGGAGTGAAGGGCATCTGAGGTCCTCACAAGCTCACTCCACAGCTGTCCCTGCATACCTGAAAGTGTAGGTCAGTAGTCTTCTTTGTTACAGTCATGTTCAGAAGTATGTTATTCTTTTTATATTTGAAACAGGAATTATTTTTACAATGTAAATGTAATACCGTAAATGTTTTTTCGCTAATATTTTTCATGGCAATATTTTTTAAAGAGAAAAATACAACCTGCACCCAGAAGACAACAATCTACAACGACATGGCTACATATATATGACAGACTTACCTATCACATTTTGCTTTTCAATTAGTACGTCATTGCCCTCATTACACTTTTTAACGTCTTCTCTTGAGAGGACTTTCCCCGTCAATTTTACGTCAGCATTGGCGAAGATGTTGTCTGGCATGAAGTTGAATGTTTTCCGTGTGTCTATGTACCGGGTTGCCCAATACAATCCAATCTCCTCCGGGTCAGGTTCATAAGGGTGGTCGAAATATAAGTGGGTCGCCTGAGACATAACCACCTATATGTAATAAAACATAGAAATGGTTAGGCCAAATCAATAATGTTGCCCTATAGCTACCTAGTCTAATTTTATTTTTTTTAGCCTACCCTGAACTTTTTTGACAATTTCCAAAGAACACTGATAAGATCAATGTTGATCTTCTATATAAACCTTATAAAAATAAACTGAAAGACAAAATTTCTGTTGTTTTTGCGAAAATCTTGTACGTGCACCCCAATAAACCACCCCGATTTTATATTCAAAACAATATAATTAAAATCAAAGGTTATTTCCAGAACTATAATGCATCTTTATTGTAATTTCAAATCATAAAAATGTAAAATTTGTAAAATCATGAATGTCAGAATATAGGGGCAGATAATATAATGGGGCATTTGATCCTTTATTACCATATATCTATACCAACCCTATTATTTTCAAACAAGTAACAGGAAACAGATGGGTGTTTTTTTGGCATCATAGAAGAAATTAGTTTTTCTGTAATTTGTATTTTTTAAGGCAAGGATTCACAATTTACATTGTAATATTTAAGTAGCTATGTAGGTATATTTGCATTACTAACCAAATGATATCAAATAATCTATCACAAAATTATTTCAAACTTAAATCAAGCACTTTAACACTTTCTATAATCATGATCATTAACCTAATTAAAAAAGGAATATAATGCATATAACATGCAATGAAATAATATTTTGTCAATATATTATATATTAATAATATTATATGTACCAATCAAAGTCCATAATCTGCAAATTTTTGAAAATTTCTAAAAAATGCAATGGCCAGAACACTGGAAAAAGGCAGAATATCTGCATGGCTTTTAAAAATTCTTAGATAGTATTTAATGTTCCCCTCCTTCGATTCTTATATGACAGAAAACCTTACTTACAATACAAGCCATTGAAATGCCGTTAACTTTCTTTAACACGCTACCTTATAGCCAGCATTGGCAAGTTTGTAAGCGAATCCGGCTAGACCAGACTCCCACACATTCTGCCATGCATAAGCCAGCACTTCCTCACTTGGAAACGCTGTCCTTTCCACGGGAGTGGTCCCACTGTGGATGAGACCATCTTGCCAGGCACCAAGTGACAATCCCTGCTTAGCAACCACCTCCGCAAGCCTCTTAACAAAGTACTCCATCAGCTTATCAAACGATTCAACTTCTCCAGTGTCGATAAGTTTTTCACAGGCAGCTGACTTTTTCCATGCCTTATATGGTACCTCGTCTCCCCCGAAGTGGAATATTTTCAACGGTTCGATGTCGTCATGCATTTCCTTTAACTCCTTCACAATTTTTTTGACAAAATTATACGTCGATTCCAAACCAGGATTCATAGAATTTTCAGAATACATTTGAACAGATGTAGAAAGACTAGAAGTATCATGGAAGTCAGTCAGCAGATATTCCTTTGCCGATTCCGTATCGTTGGCCTCTTGGAACTTGTAGTACCGAGCCTGCATAGCCTTTATTGCAGCGTGACTGTGACCTGGCATGTCAATCTCTGGAATGACCTCAATGTGACGCCGTTTTGCAAATCGTAGAATTTCCTTGTAGTCCTCTACCGAGTAATAACCAGAACCCGACGTATCAAAGTTAGGGCCTGATCCTAACATGGGAAGGATACATGTCTTCTCCTCAAGGTCATGACCTCTACGACTTCCAACCTGAATAAGAGATAATATAGGTGCAAATTCTTCAATTTAGAAGGATTTCATTCCACCATATAATAAATTATGTACATATATACAATTTACAAAACAAAAATCAAAATAATCATACACTTATACTGTGTACCGTATTTGACCGCAAATAAGTCCCATCTCGCAAATAATAGATAAATTATTGACATGTAACCGTTACATCCAAACAATGCACGAACAAGAATGTTTTCACATGTCATGCATCTACTGTCTTTGAAAGCCAATATGATTCCATTTTAGATACAAATATCTTTTCTACACGCTTGGAATATGTTATTACAAAATTAAAGGCTAATTGATTGGTTTCAGGATTAAAAAACCCCGATCAATTACTAAAGGCTCATATATCTGTTCTTTGAAGATGACATAACGAGGCCCATCTTTACAGCCATCAATTTTACTGTTATCCAGCATGCAGCTGCCATGCAATTCTTTTGATGTACATTAAAAGTCTATTACTATATTAGTCTACTTGTATCATTTGCAAGGTGGCACATACTGAGCCTTGAATTTCATCAAAATATATTCCAAGTAAGTCTTGGATATTGATCATGAGGATGTGCTCCTACCTCCTCCCTCCATCTTCTCCTTATTAATTCTAAAAGATGAAGTGGTTATTATAAATGAATGAAAACATCTTTTTATATAAATGCAAACTCCTATTGTAGGAGTAGTGTAGGAGAAGGCAGTGTGTACCAGTTACACCAGTAGATTCGTCCATAGTTGTCGTAGTCCGAATTATTCTGACGTTTTATCGACTTTTTTTATATCGGTCTGGCGTCGGTTAATTGACGCCAGACCGATTTAAAATAGTCGATAAAACATCAGAATAATTCGGACTATAGTAGTCATAGACTAAATATGCCATAATCTTGATATACGGTAAATTAAAAACTCTTTGAGTGAAATATCAAGATTATAATAAAGGAGGTATTTCAATAGAGTTGGATAGATTTCAAAATACCATCTAAATGGTTTGTTAGCAGGACCAGTACGTGCCATGTAAAAATAAAAATATAACCATAATGCTTGGTGTCTATCCATAACAATAAAATATTGAAGAAAATCTATGCCAAGCCATCTGTAATTTAATGTCGATAAACCAACTCACAGAGGTCAGTTCCTCCAGACCTGGGATTTCCAGACGCCAACCTTCATCGTCAGTCAGATGAAAGTGAAACTTGTTCATCTTGTACATGGCCATAACCTCTAGCAGTTTGAGTACCGACTCCTTTTTATGAAAGTTGCGCGACACATCCAAATGCATTCCTCGGTAAGAGTACCTCGGAAAGTCCACAATGTGAACATGTGGCACCTCACATCTTTCAAGTAAGGAAATGAGAGTCTGAACACCATAGAATACTCCTCTGGCAGAACTACCAATGACTTCTATGACTTTTTCTTCAAGTTTCACAGTTAATTCATAGGCATCCATGCCAGCACTTTTGTTGCTTTCTTCCCCATTTTCTGTGACTGGACCAATTTTTAGCGATATTGCATGATTCTGGTCAGGTTTTAGAATCTTATTGGTTTGAAGATCAAGTTTGACTGAAGCAGACTTTTCTACAAAATAAAGAAAATAAACCCATGAGTAGAGTAAATTAATGAGAAGGAACTGGTAATTATATATACACATAATAAACTATCTAACTGTTCTTCCTACAGTAACTTTATATTGCTGTCGTGTGGTTACAGACATCAACATATGTTTATTAAAGAGAAATGAGAATCAAAATGGCCTTTTTCAGACATCAACATACATAATGTATGTTTTTTAAAGAGAAAATGGAACCATAATGGCATTTTTCATTTTCTAAATACTTAATTCAAAAATTGATTGAGTAATGATTAGATATTTTTAAAAGACTTGCAGAAAATCTATGACTTCTATCATATTGTACCTAGAAGGAACTCAGCTTCCTGCATCACATCCTGGGAGGCCACTATGCACCATGGTTGTTTTGAGAGGTCCAATGTTCCATCGCTGATCAATGTGAGGCGGTAAGGTGTAGGTGTCACAAGGCATCCAGCCTTGCCCAAATCTTCCACGTTGTTCTTCTCGTACCTTACTTCTGGGGTAAATGGATCATACTCGTCCCATCTATGTCTTTTCCAGCTTTCTGGAGTGTCAAATGGCAAAATGTAGCCAAGTTCTTCTCCCTGTGTACTCTGTATAATCGTTGGTATCAGATCCTTACATGTTATGTACCAGTTAGGCATCAGATCTGATCTAGCAACAGAGTAGTACTCGGCTGTAAATGTGATCTCTAGACTTTCATCTTTGTTTAAAGTTTTAAATGATTTTAAAGGTTCCAGTGTGAAAAGACATCCGTTTACATGGCAAAACTTGACACCATAATTTTTCATACAAATCTGATCGGCATCCGGAAGTGTCTGGGGTTCCAACATGCGGATATGACAGAAGTAAATAGCCCACTTTCCTTTTCCAGTTAATGGGACGTCACCTGTATTAGTTAAGATCATTTTGGCTATGTATGTTTTCCTTGCCTCTACATTGTCTGTGACTTTGTACTTGATGTCTAACGTGTTGGCTATATAATCTAAAGTAGACTGATCCATCTTGAGGGCTGGGCTTTCTGAAAACAAATAAAATAATTTGTCATTTCATTGATATAACCCTAAAAAAGCACTGAAATACATATATTCTATACTTCTACTTCTAAATGGTAATGACCAACTTCAACAAGTTGAAGATAATGTCATGAGGGAGAAAGAGATTTGGTCGATTCCGAGAAAGCCAAAATGATATAACATGTATATAGATTTAATTTTGAGGGTACACTGACAGGAGAGCAGATTTAGAAGATTCAGTAGTAGAACAGGAGGATATGATATTTGGTGGGATCTTATTCCACTCAGATATTGATCGTGGAAAGAAGGATTGTTTTCTGACCTGGGTTCTGCAGTGTGGTATTTGGAAGGATTGGTGATGGGCATGCCTTGATTGCCTGGTTGCTGGTATAAGTCTAGTGTGTTTACTAATAGCTACCTAATTGTTCACAATTTTGAACATCATACATAGGCTTGTGTCTCGCAGTCTGTCGTCAAGGGATCGCCATTTAAGATGGTTTAACATATTAGAGACACTTGATGTTCTATAAGTGTAGACGTTTTTGTTGAGTATGTAACGAGCAGTCCTGGGTTGTACCATTTCAATTTTGTTGATGTTATCCTGGGTGTATGCATGGGTCCCAAACAGGACAGGCATACTCTAGGGATGGACAGACTTATATGATTTGTATGCCTGTGCCTTAACTGATGTTGAACCTATTTTTAAGTTTCGACGGAGGAAGCCAAGTGTGGAATTTGCTTTGTTGGTAATATTATTTATGTGGGAATCCCTTTTTTAGTTAAGATTGGATTGTAACACTCAGGTATTTTGCTTGGTCTACATGTTCTAGCGTTTGCCCATGGAGGATGTAATTATGGATAATGGGGTTTTCCCCCTTGTTCACAGACAACACATTACACTTGTTCGGGTGGAAGCTAGGCCATCTTCCATGTCTTTTCCCAGAGCGCCAGTTTGTCCAAGTCTTGCTGCAGAGTTTCAGCATCACTGTTAGACTTGACAACTAGATAAGCGATAGTGTTGTCTGCGAACAAGCGGACGGTAGAGTTTAGGCCCAAATGAAATAAAGAAATAAACTTGGTCCGAGGACCGATCCCTAGGGCACACCAGAATGGACGTTGACAAAGTCAGACATTTTCCCCTCCACAACTACAGATTGCTTTCTGCCAAGAAGGAAATTCTCAATCCGGTTTACTACCTTTCCTTTTACACCATAGTACTTTAGTTTGTGGATGCATGTCAGTGAAATTGGTCTATAATTTTCTGGATTAAATTTGTCCTTTTTTATAAATGGGGGATATATTTGCCAATTTCCAATCAATGGGGACTAGACCTGTAGCCAATGACTTGCTAAAAATTAGTGATAGGATGGGGGCTACTTCGTTAGCAAAGTTCTTTACTGATATATATAGGTCACAGTGTATGTTCGACACATATATAAGAGCTAGACCCAAGAAAATGTCACTGGCCAAGACTGGCATCTCATAATTGATAAAGTTAAATATTGTGTAACTTGACATAGTTCCATCTACATGAATCGCAAAATCAACTGGCAGTCATAAATGATGACACCCGTCTTAATATATCATGGATGTGCAACTGCGTTAGTTCTGTGGAGATTTTACACCACTGCACCAGACCCTACTCCTATAACATAAGAGGCCGCTGCTCGGCCTTTTTTTCTTTCGGATATGATTTTACGCGGCTCCTGTCGAAAGTTTCTCGCCGTGTAAACCTCTAACATTGTTGGTGTACACCGACTGATAAGTGATATGAGACTTGCTGCATATCCTTTTCACCCCACTGTCCCGGCAAAAAAAATATTCTAGGATTCATTGTAAATCTTACGACAATCTTCAGAGGCAAAACACATTTGTGAACATTTAAAAAATATATAGAGACCAGAGACGTATATATTACATATACGTCACTGGTGCATATAAGAACCTGAGTTCATACCGAAATAGGAAGTGACACTGACAGCCGGCCGGTTACCGGTATCTCTTTGACACCATTGAAGAGGTATTTAAAGGGAAGTCACTCGAGTCACAAGTATTCGAGTTCTTTCGCTAAAGATCCAGACAATCATTGAAAAAGTCAGAGACAGTCCGGGTAAATGTCTATATTAGCAACAAGATGGTGAAAATTCCTGCTGAGATGTGAAATGTTTTGCTGGAGACAATCAAGATACAGTTATTCTGACTACATGGTAACGAAATATATAAAATGCATAGGTCTTTATTCTGTCAAATATACAGCGAAATGTACTGTGTCGATCCAAGTTGCCGACATTTAAGCAGCATTAGTTTATCCTTTAAACAAAAATGTCACGTTTGTCCTGCTTATTGTTATTAATGTCATGGATAACGGAAATGACATGTAAACATCGCTTGGAGGAGCGGACCGTATTCTATATCTGCATACGTATATGTCTGCAACATTTGAGTTAATAGGACTTAATGTTATATTCATGTACTATGTAACTTGATTTATGTAGTAATATACTTGTACTCTTTGTATCCTATAACCAACTCAATATTGTCTATACAAATCAGGTAACCATTCAACACAGATAAAAACAGGATTTTCAGTAGATAGACTGCATTACTATACTGATCAAAGTCGATGGTGCTTTTTTAGTTATAGCAACATACACTTGCTGTTATAAATCACAAAATCTAAAAAAACAAACAATACATAAGTCATAACTGAAATGAGGACAAGGAAACTAATACCTTAAGTTTTTGGCTGTTCTGTAACCAAAGCCATGAACTTATTGTTTTATTTTGCAGTCATGTCTTTTTCAACCACTACCTTAATGTTTCAGATAGCGCCAGCTATAAATCTAATCATCTTTAATACTGCACCACATATGTCAGGGGTTTATCTGGGGTTTTGGGGAAACTACATTTTTTTATTTTGAGGGGAAAATTATAAATCTAATAAGGGATTTTTTTTTCACAAAAAAAACTGCTTTTGAAGAAAAAATGTAAAATAGCACCAAAAATCTAAGAAATATAAATATTTTTACCAAAACCTAGGGGAACTTTTAACAATTTACTGAACTTAATTAAGGGAAAATAAGCACAAATTTTGAACCCATTACCGGAAGTAAAAAAAGGTCTAGATCAACCCCTTCATGTACATTCATGATAATGTCAGCAGAATCAATTATATTGTGATAAATAAACTTCTACTATTGATGAAATTGTTCCGCTTGCCAGCATGTTGATAATCATCAATGCTAAATTCGCTACAACTTTTTAGTTTCTGTTGGAGGTTATGCAAACCTTGTCCAAAAGTTATGATTTCTGGAACACGGAACCTAAAGATGACAGTCCATGCAGTCAGTTAAAATATCCACACTGCAGGCCTGTGCACACCTTCTACACGGTGTATCTACTGGTTAATTTCCTTATTATAAAATATATAATATATATATAGGAAAATTAAAATTCCATGCAAAATAGAAAGGGATCAAATTCATTAATTTAGCCATGCATGCTTGCAATTATTGCCTGGGTGATTGAAGATTTTTACTTGCCGATCGAATCAGAAACTCATCACCATAACTTTTCATCAATTACCAGTAAATAACATGAATGAACCTCAACAAAGGAAACCCCAGAACAGATACTGTTACATATAAGCATATATTTCACTTTCTTGGTGTTTTTTTCAGAGAAGCAATTACCAGCAGTGATTTGCAAGTTAGGGGATGTTATAACTTTTAAGCCATCTTTGATATATCCAGAGTGTAGGTGAGCGTAACCCCTTGATATCGAGGATGCTTTTAAGCATAGATAGGAGTTATTGAGTATAAAGAACTTTAATGCTTGCACTATTTTATGGAGAACCTAGATGGGGGAGCAGATCAACTGTAACCAATATCCATTGTGTCCTGTATCCTTGTTTCACATTCTGTCTCAATTCATTGTCATACTTGTAGCTCTAATGCAACTTTATTTCTTAAATGTTTTTGATAAAACTAGAACACTGACTGGTCAGTAAGGGCCCTGTCTTGTGGAAATATATCCCCCATAATCATCAAGAAGTATAATCTGTCCATATAGCTGAGCTTGACTTTTGCTATTTGGACTTCAAAAAGAATCGCAAGGAAGCAAAATATACATTTTACATGTACTATGATGTGAGTCTGAATTGTTTCCTTCCACCTCCATATTTGCTGGGCTAACAGAAATTTAAATACCGGTGCAATACTCATTTGTTACCTTTGAATTGTTTTATTTAACCTTATAAACCTCCTCAATCAAGAGCCAGGGTCAAAGTCAGAGGTCCACTTTGTCTTTGACCTTTGGACCCAAATGCCCTTGACCATTAACCCAGCGACCCTGATCTTTGGTCAGTTGACTTATTCTATAATTCCGACCAACTTTGCTTCATAATATCATAACAAAATGTTCATCAGTGAAAAATACAAAACTTGACCTTGACCCCGTAACCTGGACCTAAGGTCAGTTGACTCTGTGTTAAGTTCTGAACAACATTGACATAATGTCATAACAAAATGTTCATAAGGGAAAAGGTACAACATTTAACCTTCACCTTTGACCCACTGACCTTGACCTTTGATCAATTGATTCCTTGTTTAATTCTGAGCTACATTGCTTCAAAGTGTCATAGCGAAATGTTCACCAGTGAAAAGATACAAAATTTAACCTTGCCCTTTGACCCAATGACCTTGACCTTTGGTCAGTTGACTCTTTGTTTAATTCTGATCTACTTTGCTTCATCATGTCTTAACAAAATTTTCATCAGTGAAAAGATGCAAAATTTGACCTTGACCTTTCAATCTAATGACCTTGACCTTTGACCTTGACTTTTTACCTCAGTGTGTCTCTTTGTTTAATTCCGAACAACTTTGCTCCATAATGTCATAGCGAAATGTTCACCAGTGAAAAGCTACAAAATTTGACCTTGACCCCTGACCCGATGACCTTGACCTTTGGTCAGTTGACTCCTTGTTTAATTCTGATCAACTTTGCTTCATAATGTCATAACAAAATGTTCATCAGTGAAAAGATGTAAAATTTGACCTTGACCTTTGAACCTAATGACCTTGACCTTTGACCTTGACTTTTTACCTCAATGTGTATTTTTGTGAACTGAACATCTTGACCAAGTTTCATGTACATCGGTCAATAAATACCAAAGTTATCAGCCAGGAACAAAATTTGTGGACGGACAGACAGACAGACAGACAGACAGACAGACAGAGTGATTACTATAGGGCCCTAACTATATAAATTTACATGTAGGTCAAGCATGAGAATACCTTGAATGGGTTTATTTAGTTTAAACATATATTTATTGTTATAATCTCTGAACACAGGATTAGCCACAAGTTTCTCCAACTAATTATATTAACACATTCTACAAATGAACTTAAATTTACAATAATAAGATAACAATAATATTGTGTTGAAATGGTCATCATAAGATAGAGTACCGAGTTACAGTTGATAATGCTCCAACAACTGTGTTGTTAAACTCATGCATTCACCCCTAACAACACATTTGAACTCTTCCATTTCAAAGGTTGGAATAGTTCATTATGAAATTTCAGGGGTGAATGAGTTAAATTACAAATATTTATCTTTATGCATTTAAATGACTAATATATTATAAAGTACGTTCTAGCAGCCTATACCATAATCAGCTTAGTTTGCCATAGTATTTCTTTACTTAAGGGCTGAAACAATATATGAATAAACATATTTGCTGACCTAAACAAAATAAGATAAGCATGCAGAGAGAAAAAAAAAGTATTTTGTGATTATTCCATAGAGGTATGTTATACCTCAGCCCATACTGTCAATTATTTTACCTCTCCATTACCATTTGGTTGAAATAATCCTTTCAAGAAGTGTATTAATTAATGAAAAAAATAACATTGCCAATCAACTTCAAGTGGATGTTGTCCAGTCATCTTTACTGACTGACTTAACATTTTTTTTTTATCTGTATTGACTGTTCTCTAATACCATGACTGACTTAACAAATTTTCTTTATCTGTATTCTCTGATACCAGGACTGACTTAACAGGTAGAGGACTGATTTATGTTATTTTTTACAGGTACATGATGCAAAAGTCCTTTTGCATTTTTTTACCCAGAAAGTGTAGATTAGTTACCCAATTAGTAGCGGGCAGGGTAAATATCTTGCAATTGTTCATTTACTTAGTTATCCGTGTGTCTGTGTGTTAGGATCTTGTTGGGACTTTAACTTTTAAAATCTTGAGGAATATTTGTATTATGTTGTATTGTGTGTATTGTGAAAAAACAGTGAGTCACTTACTGTATAATATTGTACCCTTATGTTCAAGGTCACATCAAGAGTTGAAATTCTTGCCATTATAAACGTCACAAAACCTTTGAAGGTTATCAAGTAGATATGAATATTTTACCGTGAGGGTGTGTTGCTAGCCACATACAAGACCATAAAGGTCAAGGTCCAAGCAAGGGTCAAAGGTCAAAATACTGCAAGGATTGTTCACCATGGCTATTACAAAACCAAAGAATACTTTTTAATGAGACTTTCTAAAGGTCAAAGGTCAAATAATGCTTGTCCAGACTATTCAATTTAAAAAAAAAAACCAGACATAATCAGCATAAGTCTGAGAGTTGATCCTATACTTAGCCAGAGCTTGATAAACTACTCATTTCATGATAACTTAGACAGGAAATATCAAATACAACCAGTTTTGCTATAGTCATTAATTTGTGATGTCTGTATTAAATTTCCTTGTGCTGTTACAATGGATAATATTACACATATTACACATATAAAAAGTGATGAGGTTATTACACTGCATAACAGCCTGATCATGAGTGTGCGATAAATAAGTATAACACATGTCACATACCGCTCTCCAATCAGTTAACTCAAGGTCGAAGGAAGGGGTCAAAGGTCAGATTGTCGAGTCATAGACAGTAACTTAAATTTGGATTGTGCTGTGGCAGTGCCTCCTGCAGAATACGTTTATATAATCGAACAGAGCTAATCTTTTACTGTGTGGTTTCTTTTTGTTCATGATATGTATTTTCAACAAACTGTTCAAAATGATCAAGTGATTAAATCTTGGAACAGCCATTTTTGCATAAACAAAACCTTTGTGTTTTCTGTGTTTACTGGTGCTACCAGGCAAAAACAAAATTATCTGAAATCATTCAGGAAATAATTTCTGTC